GACGCATAAAGTAAGGAATGAGCGGAGAGTTTCGTGCAACAGTCCAGCGTAGAGCGAACAGAGTACACGGAATTGAGTGTCAGGAGGGAGAGGAGACACACTGGGCAATAACAGTGGAATGACACTGGCAATCGGAAAGGCAGGTGCAGGGCGCAGCTCGCCGTGGGATTCGCCTTGGGGTGCTGTGCTCGCAGCGGGGAGAGCGGGGAGAGGGTTGGTGCTGCGCTGTGGGCACGTGGCATCTAGCCGGCGAGGCCTCCCTGAGGCGTGCTGTCGTCCGGCTCAAAGCCCGAGGTGCCCTCGCGCAGCAGCAGCGTGTACCTCTGCTGTTCGACGGGCCAGTCCACCATGTCGGCCTTGCGTCGGGTGGGGGAGGCGTGTCGGAGTCTGCGGGTCTTGAGTGGGGCAACCTCGGCCAATCTCGGCCAGTCCCGGCTTGTCTCGCCTGGAACCACATCGCTTCGAACTTGTCGGGGCTTGCCTGCGGTCTCGCGGCGATCCAGGCCGTCGAAAGGGGGACGAGGACGGGCGGGGGATCGGGGGGTGGGTGGGTGGCGGGATGTGTGGGCTGCGCCTTGAACTGCTTGATCCCGTCTGCGATTCCAGCCTGCACCAACTCCTTGGCGCCGATGGTGACGAAGCTGCGAGGCGAGGGCCGGGGAAGGGGCGGCGGATGGGGGGGAGTGGCGGAGTGGGAGGCAAGTGTTCTCGCGAGCGTTTGCCTGTACTGCCCTCCGTACCGAACTTCTGCAAAGGACCACTCGCTGTCTGCGCCAGCGGCGGCGGTCTTGGCCTCGGATCTAGACGGGGTCTCAGGCGCCACGATGTCCGCGTTCGCGTCCAGCACCTCGAGTGGGATGCACAGCACCGACGCCTCCTCGCCGTCCTTTGCAGGCGGGGAAGGGAGGGAGAGGGTTTGGGGTCTTCCTCCTCGCCGCCTTTGCAGGCGAGGAAGGGAAGGAGAGGGTTTGGGGTCTAGCTGACGGCGGGCGAGAGAATGAAGGACCGGCCCCTCCCTCTCACGGTGTCCCATGCAAAGGGCCTCGCAAGTGGGCGTTGGTGAGGTGGCTGCGCGTGTGAAGTGGACTATCTCGGAGCCGTCGCCTCCTCAGCTTCCTTGGAGTCGCGAGGGAGGGCGGAAGCGGACTTGGCGAGGAGCGCACGCGTCTGCCGCTTCTCCTCGCGCAGCATCGTGAAGCGCTCCGCCAGGTTGGTGTCGCGAGCCGACTCGAGCGCCAGTGAGACGACACTCTCATCCACCGCGCTCGCCCACAGCATCCTCCACGCCTTGGCGTCGGCTCCGTCGCCCTGCTGCAGCGCCTCCATCGGGCTCGGAAGAAAGACATGGAGCGGATGTGTCTTGCCTTTCACTCGGACAAACAGCATACCTGGCTCGGGCTCATCCAGCTCCTCCACCATCCGGAGGTCGAATTTGCCCGTGCGGCTGGCCCGGTCGGGCGTCTTGCAGTATTCGACGGCAAAGCCGCTCGAGAAGAAGTAACGTCGCTCCCGCTGCGTGGGATCGCCCTTCTTGGACCGGTGGAGCCAGCCCTCGATGCAGAGCTCGTCCATGAATCGGTCGGCGCGGGTGGCAGCCGGCGACGGACGAGGGAGCGTGCTCGTCGAGGTCTGGTCGGCGGCGGCTTAGCCACCGGCCGTCCGCCCGCAAATCGCTTGGGCGTGAAATGAGCCCACAAGGCACTCGACGCCTCACGGGTCCCCCTTGCCCGGGGGGCGAGGGAACCTGAGATGCTGGGGCGAGCCTTGGCGAGGAGCAGCGTTCAGCTGTTCCCACAGCATGCTGGAAGTACCTCGCCAGTATCCGCCGCCGCACCGCAGAGCACTCGCCAGCAGTGTGCACCGCGGCTGCGTTCTCCTCACTCAACGTTCGCAAATCCTTAGAATTTCTTTTATAAATTCCACAAGAAAGAAAGGAAATTCAACAGACAACCCAAGGGAGGGATGGGAGGACCGCACGCAAAAAAGAAAGAAAGAAAACAGACATCCCAAGGGAAAGCGCAAAAAAGAAAGAAAGAAAACAGACATCCCGAAAGCGCAAAAAAGAAAGAAACCGCGCGCCTCGCCGCCGCAGCCGCCGCCGCCGCCTCGCCCTCCACGCCGCCGCCCACCCTCCTCCTCGACCTCCCTACGGACCTCCTCGTGCGCGCCTTCTCTCACTGCGACCCCGCCGACATCGCTCGCGTCGCGGCCGTCTCGCTGCTCTTCCACGCCTCGCTTGCGGAGGAGGGCATCCGCTTGCGCCTGCGAGAGGCCGGCTACGAGCCGCCGGCGCAGCCAGAATGCGAGAGGTGCGCCGTGCGGTGGCTGTGCGTCTATGCCTTGCTGCGCGAGTCCAACCCGCCGGCGAGGGCGGCCGCAGGCGAACGGCACAGCATCTTCATCGACGGCGAGGGGCGGCTCTCGTCGTGCGGCACGGCAGCGGAGGGTGAGGAGGGCGAGGAGGGCGAGGAGGACAAAGAGGAGGAGCTTCCAGGCCTTCTCGGCCACGGCGAGGGCGTGCTGCAGCTCAAGACGCCGACCCGTCTCCGGTCGCTCCGGAGGCGAGCGCGCGATTGGTGTGGCGGCGTCACGATACTTCAGCCTCGCTCTCACCGCGGACGGCGCCGTTTGGTCCTGGGGCTGCGGCGAGCCGGGACTCGGCGACGAGCAGCACCAGTGGCAGCCAAAGAAGATCGACGCCTTTGCTGGCCAGCGCGTCGTCACCGTGTCGGCTGGAGCCGCTCGCATCCTCGCCATCACCGCGGACGGCGCCGTCTGGAGCTGGGGCGATGGTTGGCGAGGCAAGCTGGGCCACGGCGACGAGCAGAACCAGCTGCTGCCGAAGAAGATCGAGTTCTTTGCGGGCCAGCGCGCCGTCGCTGTTGCGGCTGGATGGAGCCACAGCCTCGCCCTCACCGCCGACGGGGCCGTCTGGAGCTGGGGCTGTGGATACCAAGGCCGGTTGGGCCACGGCGACTACCAAAACCAGCTGCTGCCGAAGAAGATCGAGGCCTTTGCTGGGCGGCGCGTCGTCGCTGTGTCGGCTGGAGGCGAGCACAGCCTCGCCCTCACCGCCGACGGCGCTGTCTGGAGCTGGGGCTTTGGATACGCTGGCCAGCTGGGCCACGGTGACGAGCAGGACCAGCTGCTGCCCAAGAAGGTCGAGGCCTTCGCTGGACAGCGCATCGTGGCTGTCTCGGCTGGAGAGCGCCACAGCTCCGCCATCACCGCCGACGGCGCCGTCTGGAGCTGGGGCCGTGGAGCCTATGGCCAGCTGGGCCACGGCGACGAGCAGGACCAGCTGCTGCCGAAGAAGATCGAGGCCTTAGCTGGCCAGCGCGTCAAGGCTGTGTCGGCAGGGGGGAACCACAGCCTCGCCCTCGACGCCGACGGCGCTGTCCTCGCTTGGGGCAGGGGCGAGGACGCCTGCCTGGGCCACGGAGAGGACCTGTCGAACCAGCTGCTGCCCAAGAAGATCGAGGTGTGGTCGCGGGAGTGAGAGGGAGGGGGAGAGGGACGGAAAAAAGTGAAGCGAATCTGGGCAAAGGGCGATCACTCGCATTACGAGGGAGTTTTGTTGTGAAATCCCCTGTTCGGCCGACTCTTCGGCGGGCGCACAAACAGTCACAACCCCGAGAGTCAGCAGTCACGACAATCGCCAATCGGGGTTTTCCGCTCATTTCCGGCGCGCACAGCACAGTCAGCACGCTGCACGGCAACGCACCTCGCGTTTAAACCGACCTAGAGCTGTTCAAATTGTTGTCCCCAATAACCCCAGCTGCTGCCTAAGAAGATCGAGGCCTTTGCTGACCAGCGCGTCATCGCCGCGTCGACTGCTGGTCGACTGGAGACAGCACCACAGCCTCGCGCCCTCACCGCGCCGACGGCGACGTCTTTACCTGGCTCCTGCGTCCTGGGGCAAGGCAGGTTGCCCTCTTTAGCGCCTGCGTGCCGCAATTACACACAGGGATTTTAACGATATGAGTGTGGTGCTAGCCGTCGTTCCATTGTTTTCTTTTTTCTCTTCTCAAGACGGAGTTTCTTCTTTAGTCTTTGGGCTGGCTCCCGCCAATGAGGGTGCGCATCGACGCCGCCCCGCTCTCCTCGCCCAGCCTGCCGCACCGTTCGCTGACGCTCGACTCTGCGGCGTGGGCCACGTGCATGCTGCTCCTCGCCACGCCCGACGGCGGCGGCGCGCCGGTGGGCAGCCTACAGCTGCAGCGCGACCCGGCCGCTCCGTTCGCTGTGCACGCGAGCGGCCTGCGCCTGGCCAGTCCTGCCGACTCGCCGGAGGGCGGCGATGCGGCCAGGCAGCTGCTGTGGCACGCGGCGCGCGAGCACCCCGACTTGCGGTGCGGGAGCGCGTTGCTCGCCCGGCCGGTGACTCCGAGCGACGAGGGCGTTCTGCGCGGGCTCGGCTTCGAGCTCGCCGGCGGCGACGTGGCGGAAGGGAGCGGCGAAGACGTGGCGCAGGGGAGCGGCGCCAACGCGTCGGCCTCGCCGCTGATGGCGCTGGTGGCGCGGCGCGACCCTGCAGAGCCGTCCGGCTTCAGCCACGCGACGCTGCGAGTCTCGTGCATACGGCAGTCGCTCGCGTTCTGGTCGCTGCTCCACTACGAGCCGCGGCGCCGCTTCACGACGAACGGCGCCCGTGCCGCCTGGCTCTGCGCGCCTTGGACGCCCCTCTCCATCGAGCTGGTCGAGGCGCCTTGCGAGACGCACCCTCTTCCTTGCGAGACGCACCCTCTTCCTTGCGAGACGCACCCTCTTCCTTGCGAGACGCACCCTCTTCCTTGCGACGCACCCTCTAAACTTGCGAGACGCACCCTCTTCCTTGCGAGACGCACCCTCTAAACTTGCGAGACGCACCCTCTTCCTTGCGAGACGCACCCTCTGCCGAGCCCACGCCACGCCCGCATGCGAGAGAGGCGGATAGAGCGCCGCCACCACTCCAGACGCGCTCTGGCGGCCCCTCTGCACCGACGCACTCCCCCTCCCTTCCCCGGCCTTGCCTGACGCCCGCCCGCCCCGACAGGTGCCGCCGGCGGTGCTGCAGCGGCCGGCGCGCCCGCCGTCGGACGCGGCGCCGGGCCCGGCGCACCTCTGCCTCGACGTGACCGCGCTCGGCGTGTCGCTGCCGGACACGCTCGCTTCGCTGCAGCACCGCTCCGCCAGCCGCTTCGGCCGCCCTCTCCGCGTGGTGTCGCCCCCGCACCAGCAGATGATGGGCGACTTGGTGGCGGAGGTCGCAATCGTGCGCGCGCCCGACGGGTTCCCGCTCCGCCTCACGCGCAGAGCGTGCACGCTCGCGCAGAGCCTCGCCCCCGACTGGGAGCTGGAAGAGTAGCGTGCGGGAGGGAGGCTAATCGGACTTAAGCGTCAAGGGACGTACGACGCCTGAGATCTCGATACACGGTGACGAACCTGACGTCGTGCGTCTCAGTACACAGTAAGGTACCGTAAGATATGATCTACCGTGTACACGTCTCTAGAGAAAATACGGAATAGGAATAGAGGCGTGTGGAGCGGGGCCCCCCAAGCCCCAAGCCCATTGCGGTCTATTTGTGTCGGCAGTCGGCCGTACACTACAGCGTACTCGTACATGTCGCTGCGCTTCCGGCCCTCTCACATAAATACACCCGCCTCAACACACACGGGCGCCAGAGGAATGTCGGCGATCTCGACCAAAATGACCGGGCACGCTGGGCGCCGAAGGCGCGACAGCCTAGGGGCGGGGCTTCAGATCTGCTTCAGATCCGTAGGCCGTCTCTCCAACCAAGCCCGAGGTGAGGTAGAGCTCGACCAGAGAGCTCGACCAGAGAGAAGAGCCTGCGAGAAGCCCGCGCGGCTTCACGTCGACAGGAACCGCGCGCGCACCGCCTTTGTCATGCGGCGGCACGCGGAGCCGTCGTCCTTGCCAAAGAGCCTGTAGCGGCTCGCGGCTACCATGCGGTAGCCAAAGTCGCGCAGCGGGCGGGGCAGCGCCGCGAGGGCGTAGAGGAAGCAGTAGGGCGCGCCGCAGTGGCGCAGCGTGCGCAGCGCGGCCGAAGAGCGCACGTGGGCGCCGCACTCGTCGATGAGCACCACCGTCGACACATCGAGCGGCAGCCCGTGCCTAATCAAAGGAGCGGCCCACCCAACATGAGTCGACCTGGCGACGAGTCGAGTCGGCGCGTCGAAGCGGCAGCCCGCGCCGCGTGAGGATGTCCTTGCCCGGCTCGGACTGCAGCGCGCAGAAATGGATCCGCTGGTCGGCGTTGTGGTCGAGGAGGAAGTGGACGAAGGTGGAGCAGAGCAGGCAGACGCCGTCGAAGAGCAGGATCACCTACTCCAACCACTTCAAGACATCTCCGACGTTGTGTTTCGGACGCCGTCGAAGAGCAGGGCCCACCTTGGGCTCGTGCGGCGCGGGCGGCGGCGGCGGCAGCACCGTCATCGAGAGCCACGCGGAGGCGGCGTCGCCAAACTTCCAAAAGGCGACCCCGACGGGCCGCTCGGCGCACGCGGCGACCTTTGTCCACTCGAGGATCCGCTTGGTGACGGCGGCGACGGCGCCCGAGAGCACGAGCCTAGGGAGGGTGATCTCCCCAGATCTCCCCAGATCTCCCCAGATCTCCCCCGAGAGCACGAGCCTAGGGAGGGTGCCGAGCAGGCTCAGGGGGGTGCTCCGGCCCGCCGCACCACACTCGAGCGGGAGAGGCGAGCCCGGTGAAGGCGAAGGGAGATGTGGGGAGATATGGGGAGATATGGGGAGATCTGGGGAGATCTGGGGAGATCTGGGGAGGCGAGCCCGTTGAATGCGACGACGCCGTCGTGCGGCCCGAGCGAGACGCAAAACACGCGAGGCGACCGCTCGCAGCCGACCGCGCCGCGCGGGTACTCTTCGAGCGGCCTGAGGGTCGGGGCCTCGGGCTGACCTCCGGGCTGACGCCGGACGCGTCTCAGGCGCGGGGCACGCGTCGAGCGGCCTGCCCGCGGCAGAGCGGCGCATGTCTGGGAAGTATCTCGGAAGTGTCTAGGAAGTGTCACCTGCCCGCGGCGGAGCGGCGCATGTTCTCGGCGGCGACGTGCGCGTTGAGCTCGGCCGTGTGTCCGAGCTGCAGCTCTCCCGCCGGGAGGGAGGCGACGTCCCCCATCCCGAACACGCGCGACCAGCCCGAGGCCGGAGACCCGTTCTGCTCGGCGGGCTGCAGCTGCGGCGTGAGGCGCAGCCGGCGCCTGGGGCGATGCGGCAACCGCTGAACATCGTGTGGCCTGACGCACGCTGCGGCGCCGGCAGCGCTCCTCGAGCTGCTTAGCGAGGAGGACCTCGGCTGGGCTCGGCCAATCTCGGCCGATCTCGGCCGATCTCGGCTACTTGCGCGCCGCTCGTCAAGCTGCGAGGCGAGGGAGCCCTCGAGGGGGGCGGAGGCGGGCGGGGCTCCCATGCAAGGGTAGACGATGTCGGCGGAGAGGACCTGTGCCCGTCCCGCGGACTGTCAGTGCCGGCGAGAGGGAGATGAGGTCCGGCTAGGAGTGGGGGTGCGCAGCCGGCGCCTGGCCGCCCACAAGCGTGACCGAGTCCGGCCGCACCGACTCGACCTGAAGTGAAGACGCACCCGGCCTCACTCCTTGCCCAGCGGACAGCCGGGAGGCAAGAGAGGAGGGGCCCGCGAGGAGTAGTGCAGCGCCGCGCCGCGCAGCTCGAGCCAGCGGGCGGACGCCTAGTGCTGAGTGACTGGTTGCTCACCAGTGATTGATGAATACCTGCTCGAGCCAGCGGGAGGACGCCTCTCCGACGGCGGCGGGCAGGCCTACAGAGGCGGAGGCCCCGAGCAGGGTCCCGAGGTAGAATGGCGTGCGGACGCGCGGGTCAAGGCGCGTGCGGAGGGCGTGCCGGACCAGAGGGAGGCGCTGCTCTCGGCTAGTCTCTGCTAGTGTCGGCTGGTGTCGGCTGGTGTCGGCTGGTGTCGGCTAGCTTCTGCTAGTCTCTGCTAGTCTCGGCGTGCCCGAGCAGAGGGATGTGCCGGACGTGACGAGGGTGACGGAGACGGAGGGGTACGCGTCGAGCACCTGGTGGGGTGGGGGAGGGGGAGGTCGGGGGAGAGGAGAGGAGGGGGAGGGGGAGGGAGGAGGAGAGAGGGGGAGGGAGGAGGGGGGGATGCGGGGGAGGTGCGGGGGAGGCGCGGGGGGAGGTGCGACCTCGGCAGCAAGCTCGACAGCGACAGGGCCCCCGCCGGCGATGAGGACGGAGGAGGCGCGGGCGAGGCGGGCGGCAGCCTCTTCCCACGAGCGGCGGCGCGAGGGCAGGTCCGGCTCGCGCGGCGACGCCTTGACGGGCGCTGCCGCGTACGACGACCCTGGAGGAGGGAGACAGACGGGAGTGAGGAGGGAGGCGCGAGGGGAGTGACGGGTGTGCGTGGTAGCTCTGTCTCACGCATCGCACACCCGCACCGAGGGAATGCGAGGGCTGCGGATACGGTGGTTGCAGCGCGAGGGCGGTGGAACCAGTGGACTATAGCTGAGCACGCGTCGTCTCCGGTGCCGGCGCCAACACTACGGGGATGTGTGTGTCGCATCTGGCAGCAGGAGAGCCGCATCCGAGCAGCAGGTAGTCAAAGGGAATCTGCGCCTCCTCACCGTCGGCCGTGCGGAGGGTGATTTCGGTGGGGTGGACGGCAACCACCTCGCCCACCACCAGCTTATTCCGCCGCCGCGGCAGCGGCCCCGACAGACGACTCAGCCACGACGGCTGCACGAAGAGACGGAGCACGCCGGGCGTGTACTCAAAGTAGTCCTTGAAGTCAACGAGTGTGACATCGTAGCTGTCGCTGAGGGCGCGCTGCGCCCACAGGCCCGAGAAGGAGCCGCCAACCACCACCACCGACGGGCGAGACAGCAGGAGGTCACTGCTTGACCGCGTCACGCCCTTAAACAGCGAGGCAACTGTCTGGCTGAGAGAGAGGACGAGGAGGAGAGCGACGTCGACGACGGACAGCAGCGTGATGATCAGACCGCACGTGGCGTCGACCGAGCCCTTCCGAAGGATGCTGAAGGTGGACATGAACGACGGAGGCGCAGTTTCCGGAAGCGAGGGCTTCTCGGCCCGCCGACCAGTTGGCATCTGACGGGCGATTCGTATACGCCGTTCGGCTCATCAAAAGAATTCGCGGTCTAGCGCGGTGCTTGTGCGTATCTTTCAATCTGGGGGGGGTTGTGCTTTTGAATGAAGGCGACCACACACAACAAGAGAAAGTCCCTCTCACACAACATACTCATACAGTTGTTCGAATCTATCTCTCAGAGAGAGATTTTGTGCTTGTCGAAACAATATACGGCACGCAAGACCCAACACACCTGGTGTACGCTCTCACGCCGGCAGCTCGGTCGACGTCGAGTCTCGCGTCTGCTCGGACGAGCGCCACTCGAAGCGCTGCTTGTCGCCGCAGCTCGCCCAAAAGGAGCGCCACAAGATCTTGAGCCTGCAGCCCGGCCGCTCCATCGCCGCGTGGATCCGGCCCTTGAGGTGCTCGAAGGCGTCCTCTCGCAGGCCGTAGCTCTGCGCCACCCGGCGCTGGCCGGCGGAGGCGGCAGAGTGGAACTCGACGAAGAGGTACGACACCTGCAGGGGCGGCCGAGGGACGGCTCGGGGAGGGATCGTCCGGCGTGGAGCTCGGCGGAGGCGTGCGAGACCGAGCAGAGGAGCTCCGGGTCCGCGACGAGCGGCTCGAGCGCCCAGTACTCGGAGCCCTCGATGTCGAGCTTGATTGCCACCACCGCCGAGGCGTTGAGCGAGCGCACGCGCGCGACGATGCCTCGCAGGTCGTAGCTCTGCCCAGAGATGGAGGTCGTCTCGCGCGCGACCGGCTTGTCGCCGACGTGCACGTCGCCCCACCGCAAGCCGCTCGCGGAGACGCCCCACACGTTGTCTGCGTACCGCACGACGCGGCGAGACTCGTCCGGCGCGGTGACGTTCCCGAGCGCAGCCTCGACGAAGCGCACGTCATACTTTTGCGCCCGGTGGTCCTGCTCCTGCCTTCGCAGCAGCGGCAGCAGCGCCGGAGCGGCCTCGAACGAGCGCACGCAGAAGGACGCCGGCTCCTTGAGCGGCTGCATCGCAGCATTCCGCTCCGCCTGCGAAAGCTGGCTCCAGTAGGAGGCATACTGCCGGCTCGGGCTGCGCAGCCCGCACGAGTGAAAGTGCCCCTTGATGAATGCGCGGACGGACTCGCCGGTGTTGGAGCCGCCGTCGAGAAAGACCCTCCCGCATCCGTCCAGCTCGAGCGCAGAGTAGTCGTCCGGCACTGCCCGGTGCGAGCCACGCAACCGACGCTTTCGCCAGCGGCCGTTCCTGCTGCCGCTGGTGTCGTTCACGAGCGCGAGCAGGACGGCGAGCAGCAGCATTGCGGCCAGTAGTCTGTATGTGCACTAATACGGCGGCAAACGCAAGCTCAAAAAGAAATTCTTGTGGCCACCTCAGAGAAATGAAAAACCCCGTGCCCATGCCGAGACCGCTAACTCGAGCGAGCCCAAGCAGCGCCGGGACGCTCCTCTCCACCGTGATGCTCCTCGCCATCATCGTCACCACGACGTGGCTGCGGACGGGCGTCGCCCACGACATCGTGCGCCCGCTCTCCAACGTCGCCGAGATCCCTGCCTCGCCTGCCAGGAGCGGCGTCAAGCTCATCGCTGGGCAGGTGCGCGGGTAGAGCTCTCCACCATACTCTGCCGCGATCCCGGCTGCTGCGAGCACGGCGCCGCCCGGTGCGCGCGACATGACCCCTGCCGTTCCCGCGCACGCAGGTCGCCGAGGAGCACGTGGAATGCCAATGCGAAAACACGACGAATGTGCGCGCGCCTGCCGCCGCCATGCAGCCCTGCCCCTCCCCGCCGTCGATTTCGTCGCCGTCCGTGCGCGCGCCGCCGTTCACTCCGCCGCCGCCGTCGCCCCCACTTCCGCCGCCCCCGTTTTGCGCCTCGCCGCCGCCGCCGTTCTCCTTTTTCCCGCCGCCCGCGCTTCCCTCAGTCGCGCGCGCGTGCGGCTCGCCTGCGTCGCTGCCGCCCCCCCTCTCGCCGCCGCTCGGCTCCCCTCACAGCCTCGTACAAGGGTGCCGCCGTCGGCGCCACAGCCTTGGCTCGCCCAAACGGTGACCCTCCCCCATCCCCCTCGGTTCGCCCCACCTTCTTCAGAACCAAATCCTCACCCCCCCCCCACTGCGCCCCATAAATAAATAAATAAAAACGGACACCTCTCTACTGTGAGATGGGTAAAAAAAGGAACAGGCCCCCGCCCTTGCGAAAATCAGGTGCCATCGCCACGTTTCCGTCGGATGAATTATGTGGAATCGTACCCCTCGGTGGTTTCCAAACCTATTCAAAAATGGCCGCTTACAGAAATCGGCAAAAATTCAACCGTCACAACAACATCATTGCGAGAGCGCAGCGGGGAAGCAACCAGTTGCTATTTTTCACCTTTTTTGAAAAGCGTGAACCGTGATGCGTGTTATGGCTTTTGCTGTCACACCGTCCCACACGTTTGAAGCTGTCCACTCTCGTTCATCCCATGCCCCGATGGCCCCTGCCTCACCCCTCGCCCTCACATGCTCGGCGTCTTCACGTTGTCCCTTCCGCCCGCGGCGCGCGAGCGCTCGAGCCAGAGCGGCTCGTTGTCGAGGCCGTCGGCGTCGGCGTCGTCGAAGCAGATGGCCTTGGCGTAGTCGCGCAGGATGGAGCGGTCGTACTGCGGGAAGGCGGCGCAGAGCTGGTTCGCCTTGCGCGAGCGCAGCCGCGCGGTGAACGGCTTGATGCCGAGGTTGGCGCGCTGCTGCGCCCCGAACTGAGCGCAGAGGAGGAAGAAGGAGAAGGTGCCGAGGGGCGGCTCCATCCACTGCCAGGTCCAGATGCCGACCTCGAGGAGCGTGTCGGTGCCGCCCTCGTCCGGCAGCGGCGCCATCACGTAGTGCCGGTTGAAGCTCATCGCGAGCTCGAGGCTAAAGACGAGCGGGATGGATGCCCAGCCGGCCGCCTGCGCCGTGACCCAGCCGGCGTAGTACGGCGCTTTGAGGAGCGCCGACTCGCCGGTCCCGTACCGCGCGATCTCCACGATGCGCACGCCCGCCGCCTCATAGTCCACGTCGTCCACCCACATGATGTCACGGCGCAGCCGCTCGCGAGACGCGATCAGCGAGCCTCCCTGTGTTTTGGTCATGAGGAAGAGCATCTCGCCGCTGAGCTCCGAGATGTGCCGCGGCATCTCCCGCACCATCTCGCGCGTCGGCCCACCCTTTGAGCCGCCGTTGGCGCCAGCCGCCGTGCCGCTCGAGCAGGCGCGCGGCGCAGAGAGGAGCGGAGCGATCCGTTGCCGAGCGAGCAGCGTGGGAGGGAGCAGCGTGGGAGGCCGTGCGGCGGCCGAAAACCCCCATGGCCGCCTCGCCGAGCGAGGCAGTCTGCAGGCCATCTCCGACAAAGCCGTCCACAAGCAAAAAAGAAATAAATTCCGCGCAACGGCGCTTACCTCGCATGCCCAGCCAGCGTCCATCTGTGTTGTGTTCTGAAGAGTTGTTCAGCTGCATGAAACTCAATAGTGCATCCGCGAAGAGCGAGGGTGCGCACGAGCGCACCCTCGTGCCTCGAGGATTGGCCAACGTGCAACGTCGCTCGTCGGATCGGGCACACAAACTTGGTTCGGCGCATAGCTGGCGAGTGTGCCGTGACGGTGTGCGAGCACGAGTGTCGCGACCTCTGGGCCACCTGGGTCCTGGCTCAGCAAGCAGCTGCACCCCAAGGCGCAAGGGTGGCCTAGGCCAAGCCGATCCGACTGCTCTCTGGGAGCACGAAGCACGTGGTGTTTTGTCACGTGGTGTGAGAGAGAGACATCGCCACCCCGCGTTTCTTTTTTAGTGTTTTAGACATTTCGAGCAAACTTTTCAGTGTGTGCTCTTACTGAGCCCTGGTCTGACCGCCTGACAGCAAACCCCGGACAGCGCCTGACAGTGCCCGACAGCCTGACAGCGCCGACAGCACTTTCTCCGACAGTCTGACAGCACACGTATCTGACAGCCTGACAGCAGAGTCTGACAGTCGAGGTGCTCCGTCGCTGTCAGGCCCTAACGTGACAGCCTGACAGCTGCCCGACAGCCCGACAGCACACAGTGGCCTGACAGCAGCGCTGACAGCCCGACAGCAGCACAGACCGTACACAGTCAGACCCCGTAGAGCCTCTTTCTTGTGCCCCATGAGGGTATAACAAAACTATTACATGCAAAGACATGTGAGTGTGGTCCATGTAGTCATGGGATGGTCATGGGTCTCTCTCTCAACCCTTCCGTCCCACACCTCTGCGCGTCTGCGGGGACCCCTCTCTAGCACCGGCGGCTGTGCTACTACAAATGAAGCTACCAGCTAGCCTTCTGGGGCCCTACAGTCATATGCCTACGGCGTCTGGGTGGGGGTGGCCGCCGCCGTCTGTGCCGCCGCCGCCGCCTGCGCCTGCGCCGCCATATGCGCTCCCCAGGCGGCCGCCGCCGCCGGCGTGATCACGCCGTGTAGGAGGAGAGGCTGAGAGTATGTGTAGTAGAGTCCTGCTGGTCTCCTCTTGATAGTGTCATAAGTGTGGCTGGTGTGTGTCAGAGCCTAACAGCACCCCGACAGCACCACCTGACAGCACCTGACAGCAACAGCCCAACGTCTGACAGCAGCAGCAGCCTGACAGCTCTGACAGCTCCGACAGCGTCTGACAGCAACACCCGACAGCTCCGACAGCACCCGACAGCTACAGAGCACCTCGACTGTCAGACACGCACCCGACAGCACCCGACAGCACTGACAGCACCTGACAGCTGGTCTGACAGAGGCACCTGACAATGCCTGACAGCTGCCCGACAGCCCGACAGATCACCTGACAGCACCTGACAGCCTGACAGCCAGGGCTCAGTGCTCTTACGTATTTTCAGTGACAGTGTACTTTTAGCTTACTGGGAGGAAAGGGAGAGGGAGGCGCGCTTTCTATAAAGCCCTTGGGGGCCCACCAGCACCACTCAGCGCAGTCGGAGAAGCCGGTGAATGAATCTTCGGAGAGGAGGTGGGGCAGTCATCACTGCCGTTCGAGAGATTGTGCGAGATTGTGGGTTGAGAGAGCTTGCGTCTCTCTCTCTCTCAGTGTTGTGTGTACTTTTAGCTTTACTTACTGGAGACAAGATCTCTTACTGGCTCTCTCTCTGGGTGGCGGGGGAGGCATTCACTTCCGCGCACTAAGTTAGTGCGCCTAAGGACGGACTTCATGAACGGCCGAGCAATATTTCGTCATTAATATTATTAATTGATGCTTTTTGCGCGGCTGAGCCCCCCCCCCCCCCCTCCCCCGCGCCCATTCCCTGCCCTCTCTCCCGCCACGCACTCCGTCAGAGCCCTCTCCCCTCTTGCACAACAGGAATTTTGACAAAATTAATCAGATGCATCAGACAATGGGGTGCCCATCCCGGAGTGGTACGAGCGGCCCGCCGGACCACTCCCCTCGCGGCCGGCCGGAGGTACTCACTTCCGCGCACTAAGTTAGTGCGCGTAGTGTCCCGGCCTCCGACCACGACTCCCGGGAGCACTTCACCACTTGACCCGCCTCGCGCGCACCAACTAGCCCTCGTCCAGCTCACAGACTAACTTGCGTCGACTTAGTTCCCCGCAGGGCCCGGGACAACTCACTCACTACATCATCTGTGCTCTTCACACGAGTTAGAGGAGAGAGAGAGAGAGAGAGAGAGAGAGAGAGAGAGAGAGAGAGAGAGAGAGAGAGAGAGAGAGAGAGAGAGAGAGAGAGAGAGAGAGAGAGTGCGAGTTAGTGACGCCTCCTGTCCCGGAGGAGGACTGCTGATTTTTTGGCTGGTAGGTTCTTGGACGCTTGACATGTTTCTTTCTTTAGTGTCTCTAGCTCTTACGAACAGCCCCGCAGGTTTTTCTTCCTTTTGCTTGCGGCCTACACAGTCGTACCAAGCACGAACGCGGCGCCAGCTCGGCTAATTACCTTAACACGCGGCGTGGCGGCAGGACGTCGGGACCGCGATCAGGATGTCCTCCTCCGCCGAGGACGCAAAGACGCTCGGCAACAGGGCCTTCGCCAAGGGCAAGTACGCTGCGGCCGTCGAGGCGTACACCGAGGCCATCAGCCTGAGTCCTCGGCCAGTCTACTACACGAATCGCGCCAACGCCCACATGAAGCGCGGCGCGTGGCGCGCGGCGGCGGACGACTGCGCGTCAGCGTTGGCGCTGGGCAGCGTGGCGACGCGCGAGCGGATCAAGGCGCACTACTTCCTCGGCCGAGCGCACGTCGAGCTCGGGGAGTGGCAGTCGGGGATCGAGGCGCTGGCGACCGCTCACGCGCTGTGCAAAGAGGAGACCGTCCCCTTCAAGGACGACATCCGCTCCGCTCTGCTCGGCGCTCGGAAGCGCGCCTGGGAGGCTGCGGCGCCCGCCGGCGGGCGCGCCATCAAGGCGCTCCGCCGCGAGCTGCCGTCGCTGGGGCAGTCCCTCGGCAGCGAGGAGGAGCGGGCGGCGGTGGTCGAGACGGCCACGCGCGCGGTGGGCTGGCTCGAGGAGACGCACGGCCTCCCGCGGCAGAGCCTGCCCGACTACCTCACCTGCCAGATCTGCATGGACTTGCTGCTCGACCCCGTCATCACGCCGTGCGGTGCACGCGCAGCGAGCCGCCGCCTCCCGACCAAGCAAAGGCCACGCCCGCGACGCGTCCACCCCGCCGCCCCGCAGGCATCACCTACGACCGCGCCTGCCTGCAGCGCCACCTCGAGGCGCGCGGGTCCTCTGGCGGCGAAGCCTAGATGCGGACAGACAACAGGTACGCGAGCAGCTGCTCACGGCAAGCTTCTCGACAGCGTTCAAGACGTATCGCAGCGCGTGTGTTCCCTGCGGCGAACGCAGCCGACTCACCGCCGTAGGCTGCGACCCCGTCTCGGGCAAGCCCCTCTCGATGAGTTCCGTCGTCCCGAATCTCGCGCTGAGAGAGGCGACGCCGCCGCCCGCACCGCCGCCGCCCGTACCGCCGCCGCCACCGGCCCGCGCACACGTCCGCACCGCCCGCAGGTGCTCGACCGTTTTCTCGAGGAGCGGCCATGGGCGTATCAGTGCATGGAGTGCTGACACGCCCCTAGGTCTATGACACTGCTATGAGCTATGACAGAGCAGACACGACTCACGAGCGCAGCCGCAGGCGCCAGGCGGCAGGCGGAGGGCCCCCGCCGGAGGCGCGTCGTTCTGGTTCTCGATTATTTTGGGTAGAATCGGCTAATATCGAGTCCCTTCGTCGCGAGCGACTCGCGCTGAGACCCGACGCCGCGCCCGCGCTCTCTCTCTCGGAACGTCTCGGACGAGACGCGCTCGCCATGGCCAATCACCACACTCCGCTCTCTCGCGCGCGCTAACATCCGAGCATCGGCCCGTGCGTCACGCGACGCACGCTATGGCACAAGCACAGCGCCCTGCGGGAGATCGAATCATACCCGCTGGACGGCGAGGCCCATGCAGGCCAGCAGCCTAGTAGCTGTCGTCGGGAGAGAGCGCGCCATTGTCACCGAGGAAGGCAGCGGCGAGCGCCGGCGTGTCCGAGCATACGTACTTGTCGTCGCCGATGCCCTCCTCCACCATCCAGTCGGGCGCGAGGAAGCAGGTCATGTCAACGTCATCCACGGGCTCCGCGCACGAGAACCAGTTCTGGAGCTCCGAAGCGACCTCGTCAACCTTGGGCTGTTCGAACGGCGTCGCGATCGCCTGCTTCTCCGGCTTCTGAAGCCGGCGGCAGGAGGCGGAGGACGAGTAGTCGACCACCGGCTTTGAGCCAATCGTGACTCCCAGCGCGAGGAGAGCCACCGTCATGGTTCCTATTGCAAATGGCGCTGAGCGCTGCCGAGACTGGCCGAGATGACAATCAAGCCCGCGCGCGGAGGGAGGAAGATTAAGAAAACCGAGGCAAAAGAACGCCATTAAGCGGTGTGGTGTATGTCGCCCGCGCGCCGCTTAATGGGTAGGGGGGGGGGGGGGGTAGGAGCCGGAACGTAGTTCGCGGCGAGAGGAAGAAGAAGAAACCGCGCAGCTCGCACACAAAAAGAACCTTGCGGCGTGGTGTATGTCGCGCCGCGCGGTCCTAGCCCGCTCGCTGGCCGTCCTCACCTTGCCTCAGGGCCTTCTCCCTCGTGCGCGAGCAGCCGAGTTCACGACGACGGCCGGCGGCGCGAGGCGGAGCAGCGGCGACGGCGACCCTCACCGGCTCGCGGTGCCGGAACTGGCGCCCGGCTCGCGCCGCCTGTACCTCTGTCGCCATGGCGAGACGGACTGGAACGTCGCCGGGCGCGTTCAGGGCATGACGGACATTCCTCTGAACCCAAACGGCCGCAGACAGGCGGCGGCGCTCGCGGCGATCCTGGCCGACGTCCCGATCGGCCTGGTGGCATCGTCCGCGCTCGGACGAGCGTCTTCGACGGCGGACGCGGTCGCCGCGCTGCACCCGGGAGCGAGGCGGCTGGTCGACGCGAGCTTCAACGAGATGAACTTTGGCTCGCTCGAGGGAGAGGAGCTGCGCGGCGGCTCGCCGCGCCGCGAGGAGTATGAGGCGCGGCTGGCCGAGTGGGAGGCGGGCCGCACGAGCGTGCGCCTGCCAGGCGGCGGCGAGTCGCCGGAGGAGGTTGCGGCGCGCGCGCTGAAGGGGCTGCGAGAGCTGGGAGCGCTACCGCCCCTCGCCGCCGCCGCTGGAGGTGCGGGTGTGCCGTCGTGCCCGAGGCACGTCTGCCTCGTGGCACACGGGCGCTTCAACAAGATCTTGCTCGCGGCGCTGCGGGGAGACGTCTCGCGTGCCTCGCAAGTGGCGCAGGGCAACACGGCAGTCAATATTGTAGACATCGACGAGGGCGGTGCCTGCACCGTCGTCGCGGTCAACTTGCTGGACCATCTGCGGGCCGCGGCCCAGCCGCCTGCTTGACCGCTTGTGGCGCTTGAAAGTACAATCATGTATGAGAGAGTGTTTCGTCGTCCGCGCACGGGGTATGCTGACAAACTAGAGTCAGACCGCGCACCGCGTCACGGTGACCGGATCTCGACCCGCGGCGCACACACACACACAGCTCCCAAGAGAGAACAAACGGGCGGGATGCTCTCTCACAACCATGTGCTCACAGCGAGCCCTCTGACACGGATGTGCCACGTACTGCATGAGCACATGTGTACCGCGTGTGAGGTCAGAGCTCACTCTTGTCGGCTACCAAGGCTGCCCTGGCCGCGGCGAGCGCGCGGTCGGAGGCCCTCCTCCTCCCCTCCAGCTCGGCGAGCAGCTGCCGCAGCATCAGCTTCTCGCTGGCGCGCGTCACCACCGCCAGCCGACGGCGCGAGCCAAGCTCGAGATGGCCGCGGCTTCTTTGAGCAGCGCCAGCCGCCAGCGGCGCCCCGAGCCGCGCTGCGTCGCTCGCGCCGAGGAGGGCGGCGTCCTCCAGGCCGGTGGAGAGGGCCTCCCGCTCCTACCCCTCGGTGCAACCTCGGGTGAGCTGGGGTGGTGGGGAGGGCGCCCCGCTCCTACGCGTGAATGCACCCAACGCCTATGCGTGTGAAGGCACGGGCTGCTGGTGCAGGGGGATACGGCGTGCGCACAGTCGAGTACACTCGGATGATGCGCGTCGCAGCGCTCGAGTGCATGGACCCGCGTCGCATGGAGACCGCTTCTCATTCCGCATCTAGCCTCCCGCTCCTCGAGCAGGGGCCTCAGCCGGCGCGCGAGCATCTCCTGCCAGCGCAGCTCGTTCCCTTGCGAGATGGGCGACCCCTCGAACGCCCTCGCGTAGCCGCGCCCCTTGTCGCCCGTCTGCTCGGAGCCTAGGCAAGGCCCGAGAAGGCTCAAGGAGAGCCGGCGGACAAGCCTCTTCCTCCCGCTGGCGGAGGAGCCGGCGAGCTCGTCGCGCGTCGCAGCGAGCACGCGCAGGGCGACGAGCAGGTCCGAGTCGGAGGAGAGGGAGGAGCGGCCAAGCGAGTACGGGGAGGTCAGGTTGCCGGCCTCGAGGATGCGGACCTTGAGCGGCGCGAGCGGGTCGTCGGCAGGCGGGCGTAGCTCGAGCTGGAGCTGCTCGTGCGCCTAGCCGGCGACCCGCGGACTGTCGAGTCTCTCGCCCAACTCCGAGCTGGGCGCGGGAGGCTCTTGCGCCGTCGTCGGGAGGGCGAAGCCGTGTGTGTTGAGGAGCTGCGCGTTGGAGCGAGGGCCGTAGTCGAGCAGCACCTGGTAATACAATTAATTAAATACACTAAATAATTAAATGAATTAAAGCAGCGAGGGCCGTAGTCGAGCAGCACCTGGTAATACAATTAATTAAATACATTAAATAATTAAATGAATTAAAGGAGCGAGGGCCGTAGTCGAGCAGCACCTCGGGGAGGCGATCTCGTGACATCTCGGGGCATCTCGGGGCAGCTATGCTCAATCTCGGGTCGTCTCGGGTCGTCTCTGGTCATCTCGGCTCAATCTCGGCTCGATCTCGCTCATCTCGGAGCTGAAGAAGGAGGATATGCACCTCCTCGCCCGCAGACACCTCCCTCGTCGCCACCAGAGTCAAGGCCTCGTCCGACAGAGGCAGCGACTCGTAAGACTCGCCCCCTGCCCCCGCCGCCCCCGCCGCCGAGTGCCAGTGCCGCGGCGAGTCGCCCCGCGCGTGCAGCTCCATCTTCGCGGCGGGTGGCGTGGACCGGCCCAGCTCCAGCCCCTGCTCCGACCCCTGCTCCGCCTCGCCCGCTCCCTCAACGTGCGAGGCGTGGTTGAGGAGGTCTGCGACTGGCGCGAGGACTCGCCAGCTCCCCTCGACCGCGCCGAGCATGAAGGAGCGAGACCAGACCGCGGACAGCGCCCACGTCCAGCGCGAAAGGCTGCCCTCGAAGTCCAGCGGCTCACTCCACGCACCAAAGATCCTCGCGTACTCGGCCCTCGACCAGCGCCGCAGCGCCTCAGCTCTCAGCCTGGCGGGCGAGGCCTGCAGCTGCAGCAGCTCTGGCTCGGACCAGGTGAGAGGCAGGTCGAACGAGGCGGGTAGCGCGCGGATCCACGGCGCAAGCTCTGGCGGCGGCACATCCACTGCACGCATCAAGAAGGCGGCCATCGCGACGTTGTCGTCGACCGCCGGGCCAGTGGCTTCAGCCCGCAGCAGCAGCGGACCCACACCCGGGTCTGCCCGTGCCCGGGCCGCCGTCACGCACAGCGGAGCAGGCGATCGCACCAGCAGTGCGCCCGCGGGTATGTCGGCGGCAGCAACCACACCAACTCCCGTCTCGGTGCTGTCCGAGAGCCGCAGCGAGCGGCTCAGCAAGCCCTGCTCATGCGCCCACGCTTCGATGGCCTCGACCGGCGGCAGCTCGTCTGCAGGGCAAGGTGCGAGCAGGCTGGCAAGCGCGAGGAGCCAAACGTGGAGCAGTCGCGGCATATTTGCTGCGGCCACGTGGATAAAGAATTCCTTTTGGCACTGCGAAAAACAAAAACCGCCGGCTCGCACACGCACGATTCACACAACAGGCAAAGCGTGGACGACGGCTTCTACTAGAACCCTTCAGCCGTCGTCGGAAAAAGAATTCTGGCGCCCGTGCGACGCACACAATACACCAAATCACAGGACTCAGCCACCCAGGTCGACCCGTCGGGGTCGAAACACCACTACGACGCGCTCGACTCAGGCCTCCACGTGGGCGGCCTACTGCGGGGCCACAGAGTCTGCCCTGTTGACAAGCTCGCGCGCCAGTCTCGCGGCGGTGGCAAAACGGTCGTCGTCCTTCCCCACGCAGTCGCGGCGGCAAGCGTCGAGCCCAGCGCGGATTCGCGCGAGGGTCTGAGGGCGCATCTTTGCAAGCAGCCCCAGAACTCGCTCCAGCACAGACGAGTAAGTAGTAAGAGCCTGCGAGCCCTGCGAGGAGCACCGACAGAGCCGCGCCGAGGCTATCGACGTGCTCCTCGGCGATTGAGGCGGGCTTTTTGTGATGACAGCGGCAACCAAGGTGCCTGTCGCCTGCAGGCCGGCCTCGATGATTGACTTGTTGCGAGCAGCCCACGAAGGTGCTGGGTTTGCATGGACGACCACCAGCCAGGCAGCCCATGCGCGTTTTGTCGGCTTATTGTTGACAACCTCTTTGAGCAGCTTCTCGTCATCGAGGAGCGGGCGCAGCACAGAGAAGTGAAACGACCCCAGCCGGGTGAGGGAAGAGAGGTCGGCATGCTGGAGCAGGCCTGGCGCTTCCCTCTTCTCGCGCTCCATCCGCGAGAGCAGCTCCAGAGTCAGCTTCTCTCTCTCGGCGAGCTCGAAGCCGAGGGCTGCCGCCCGCGCCGGCGCGGCGCGTCGAACGGCCTGCTGGAAGTGCCGGTTATACGGCAGCGGCCATGTCCTTGGGCGGGAGGTAGGACAGAACATGCTCCAGCGCGTCAAGCTCCAACATGACCGCGCCGCCTAGGACGGCGTCGTCGGCGGGGCGCGCAGCCGCAATCTTCTGACGCGCGGCTGCCGCCCGGCGGAACGAATGTTCCAAAGACGACATCGTATAGCCCACCTGGGCCACCCGCTCCGCCATGGAAGCGTCGAGCGCGCCCGCGCCAAGGGCTTGACATTGGCGGCGGCAGCCTCGAGAGCCGCGATCCGAACGCGCATGCCAGCGTTAGTGCGAGCCATTCAGGAGGATTCTTGGATTGTGGTTTCACACTGAAAGAAACCCGCAGGCCCACGTGTAGCACACACACGAGCGTCAGCGCGCCGGCCGATGCCGACCGTGGAGAGACCGAGATACACCAACCGTAGGACGACGGTTCACGGGCCTCTCGCGCCGGCGTCACGAGCGCCCATATCTGTGCTCCGATCCGCGGAGCTCCTGCTCCCACGCCTCCGCAGGGGTTGGCGGCTCGCCCGCTGCTTCGTCGGCCACGCTGCCTCCAGCGATGTGCAAGCACGCAGCCGAGATCAGAGCGACGCTGTAGTGGAAGCGGAGCCGGCCAGAGGCGTGGGCGTCGTCGGCGGAGAACCGCGCCGCCAAGACAGCGTGCAGCGTGCCCCACACCACCAGCACCAGGGCCACCTGGCGGCGTGTGGATTTCGGAGCTCGAGCGCCCACTAGCAGCAGCAGCGCGCCAGTCAGGCCGACGGCACTCGACGCGCGTTCGGGCGGCGGCAGCGGCGGCGGAGGGGGAGGCGGCTTGGCTCGACGCGCGAGCCAGAGCGGCAGCGCGAGCCGCGGCGCGACCTGTGCCTCTGGCTGCGGAATTCGCGCGCCATCGGCAGCCGCCAGGCTGACAGTACACAGGAAGACGCCGAGAACGAGCAGCCAGATCCGCAGCAAGTCAACGTGCGGAGGTGCCGACGAGCTGATCTTGGGCGCGGGTGGAGTGGTGTGGCTGAGCGGTGCAGCGGCGGAGGCGACCTCGAGACGGAGTGTGACGTGCGGCATATCGTTCTGCCCGGTTGCGTGTGGGGTGACGCTTGGTCTGAGAAAAAGAATTTTGCCTGGATCCTCACCTGTTCAAATGCTGTGTATCGGCGTGCCGCCTCAGTGGCTCAGAGGACAGAGCTCAGTATGAGACATGTGCGTCAATGAGAGTACGGTTCGGTCTCGGCTCTCGCCGCAATCTCCGTATCTCCCATCACACCTCGTGCGGTGCGCGGCGGTGGGGCTGCGTGTCCGCTCGCTCACGCTGAGTGTTTTGTTTCGAGAGTTTTGGCTCGTCCTAGATTTTCATACTAATCAGATCAACCAGCCCCGCAGGCGGGTCGTACTCGCCGCAATCGGCTCCTCCCACCAGCATGTTCACGTCATTCTTCAGCCCCGCACTCGCTATGCGAGCTGGGACGGCATCCGTTCCCCGGTATAGCCGCTTGGCAAGAGGGTCCGTGTACTGCCCAATAGTCTCGAGGATCTGCGAGTGGCTGTAGCGGTAGAGGGGGTCCGTGCGCCACGCCTCACCCTTCTTGATGTACCTAGGTGCGTCACACATCGACTCAGAGCGGAGAGCGAGCTATGCCCCCGTCCTCGTGCTTTGTTTACTTGCTAAACCAGTTCATCTGCATCATCAGGTCGTAAGCAAAATTCCGCTCGAGGAGCGAAGCCTGCAGACCCTGCACAGACAGCACGTGCACCGCCCAAGCAGCATCGAGCGCGGAGTGGAACCCGCGATTCGAGCCGAGCCCTTGCGGCCAGAACGGCTCGAGCAGCGAATCGCCCACGGGAAATACGGGAACCAGCGAGGTGAGGCCTCTCTTGATTTCCACGCGCTCCTTGAAGGCGCGCTGGGCCTCCTCCAGCGCCGCAATGTCCGCACGCGCCTGGTGCAGTCGCTCGAGCTTGGCCAGACGCGTGCGCTCGGTGAGCCGACTCCTGCCGTCGTCGTCGGTCGCCTCCTGCAGCTCCATCGCGGTCGCGCGCAGCTCCGGCAGGGCTCGCTCAAAATAGGCCGCCTCTGCGATTCCAAGCTCATCGTGCGCCTCGATGTCGAGACTCGAAACCTGAGGAGGGGTGGGGCGATGCTCTTCGCGAAGCGGCGGAGGCAATTGCACCTCCACCTCCTAAGTCAACTAGAGCCTCCGCACGGCGGGTGATTGCAGGCACACACACCTGTCCCTGCTGAGAGCCGCCGGTGCAGACGCCGAGGACCTTGTAGCCGCATAGCGCCTTGGCGCGCGAGCTAAAGTCAAAGAGCTTCACGGGGTGGAAGTCGCAAAAGGAGCTCTCGGCAGGGAGGCCAAAGATAGTGGCGACGGTGCGGGCCGCGCCGAGCAGCTTCTCCTCGTCCACGTTGCTCCTCTCGAGCAGGCGCTCGCGTGGTAGGTCGGCCTGGAGCGCGCCCAGACCCAGCAGCGACGCCTTGGTGATCGTGACGACGATGTAGTGCGTCTCACCCTTGAGGTACTCGATGAATTCAAAGTCGACGCCCGCCTTCTTTAGATCGTCAACGATCCTCTTGTGCTCGCCGTCATCGTTGGGTCGCACGACGCGATCCCGCAGCTGTCTCTCTGCAGCGTCCTTCGCGTCGTAGTTCATATTGATGATCAGTCCGATGGCCTGGGAGAAGACGTTGACGGCCTTGTCGATGCCCAGCCGGTTGCAGCTGTTGCTCCACTCGCCTTCTGCAATGAGCAGCGCGTCAAAGGGCAGGAATACCAGGCCGCCTGGCAACGTCACGTCAGCCGAGAGGGCGAATGTCGCGTCCAACGAGTTGCGTTGTGTCATGTTGCACCTAGATGCGGGGTTCATCTCCCTGGTTCCAACTGCAAACACCGAGATGCGGAATATATCTCCCTGGTTCCAACTGCAAGCTCCTAGATGCGGAATACATCTCCCTGGTTCCAACTGCAAGCTCCTAGATGCGGATACACACCCCTTCGTCAAACTACTACAAGCACCTTCCCTCGTGCTTTTCCCGCTCGTACGCGCCCAACTTGCACTGCTTGAAGCCGACGGCGCCTGCGGCGTGCGCCGCGGCAGGGATTCCGGCAGGCTTTCCCAATGCTCGCCACTTCCCGCTCGACGTCGCAGGTGCCTGGACAGCAACCAGCTCGGCGCCATATGAGAAGGATACGCCCATGAGGAGGGCGTTCTTTAGCAGCGTGAGCTGAATGGAGCGGGTGCCCATATGGATAATGTCGGCCTTGTCGTTGAAGGTAGGAAAGTAGGCCTTGGCTCCTAAACTGAGGAGGTCGTTCGCGGTTTGCTTCCACAGCATCAGGATATTGACTCGCGAGAAGTCCACACGTTTCTCGAGCACCGTGACGCGGTGTCCGCACATCGCGAGCTCGACCGCCCCCCGCAGGCCGCAGGGCCCAGCGCCAGAAACCACGACATCGAGTGGGTTCTCGGCGCACGGGCGACGAGCGTTGCTCTCGAGTAGCAGATTGATGAGCTGTTTTGAGCGGTAGGGAATGCTGCTCGCAGAGAGCGCCTTGTGCAGTGCAGCGAAGTCGGCAGAGCCAACACCGCACTCCTTGGTAAGGTGATCGTGGGAACTTATGGCGTCCTGCACGGTGTTAGCAGAGACGAACGCGTCCCACGCTGTGCGAAGCGACATGCTGGGGGAGGACCGGCCACCGACGTCCGTTCACCGCCGCCGAAATGCTTGCTCGGCCCGAGTTTTTACGCACGTCTTGAGCACTTGAGCACTGGATAGGGCCGATTCCGCGTGGTACGGGACCCCTCGATCGTCTCGCCCTCCCTCACTGGTATGTTCATTGGGGGGGGGTCATAACAAACACGGTATGCCGCTCCTGTCGCGCTTGTCCTCGCGCTTGCGCTCGCGCTGCTGAGCCATCGAGGCTGCTGATCGCCCGCCCTTGGCCCAGGGCAGCCCGGTGACGTTGTGCAGCCAGGCACCGCTCTCCCCGTAGCTTCCATCCCACGTGTGCTCCTTCGGCGCCCTGCCTTGCGGCCGTGGATGTGGAGCGCCGGGCGCGGCTGCGGTCGAGGACGAGGCCTGGCCACTCATTTGTGGACGGCCAAATCTTTGTGGCTCTTGCCAAATCTTTGTGAGGTGGGAGGCCCGGGCAGCTAGGTTGGGGGTCGCGGAATAATGTTGGGAGTGGGTACCTTACGAAGTAAACTTCTCCATTGTACGATAAAGGGTGGCTAAGGGCTCTGCCCGCAAGGCGCCCGCGTCGCAGACGCGGTACCATTGACAAATCTGCAATATACCCCCACACGAACAAATAGCAAAATCCGAATACCGTGCACGAACTGCGTGATCTGGGCCGTGCAAGCCTTCAGCTGGTTTCAAGACATCGTAAAATTGAAGCCGCGACGTCCGCCAAATCCGTGCTAGGGAAAGCTGATCGAGCCCAGCGTGCCCGCGGCCGCCTCCCGCGCAGCACCGCCGCTGAGGACGACACGCTGCGGAATCGGATCGAGCCCATGGAGGAGAAGGGTGCAGTCGGCGAATCGGAGGAGGAGGAGGAGGGCGCAGTCGTCGACGTTGGCGTGTCTGACTCAGAGGAGGAGTTGGAGGTGCTCCAGCAACCTAACCTGATCCAGAAGCTCGCCGACGTTGTCAGGTTACGTGCGTCATGCGTGATCGAGCTTGAGGGAGGAGCTCAGCTAACGATTCGGCCGGCCACCCAGCGCCGCCGCCCACCGCCACCCACAAAGCGCCTGCTCTACTATCACCTGGCTGGCTGACGCTCGCCCCCCCCCGCTCCACTTTCCCCTGATCATGCCCGTGATAGCACCATCACTGTCGCCGTCCTGGTTTTGAACGTGGCAGCTAGACTCTAGGGACTCGGTAGTCGTGACCGCCCCCTGAGTGTGAGGAGCAGGAGAGAGAGAGCTTTGTGGTGTTGGTGTACGCAATAACGGGACAGGGTGGTTGTTCTCTCCATCTCCCCTTCTAGCTCTTAGCATGAGCTGCGCCCTGTGTCCGACCCCTTTTGCGCAGCAACACCTTAAACTTTCAGGCCCTCCAAATTCGGGTCGGAGCGTAGCGGAGTGGGCCCCGAGTTTGAAAAAGGGCGACGGACGCTTGCGTCCTAGCCTCCAACAACGCCTCCCCGGCGCAGAGGGGCCCCCGGAGGGATGCACAACCGCTCCACGCCACGCTTGCGGCGGTCCTCTTCCCAGCTCTGCTGAGGGCCCGTGCGTTATTGGGAGCTCCAGCTCTGCCACTCCCGCCACCCCGCTCCGCTTCTCCGAGTAGCAAGACGTCCACCAAGAATGCACCCTCTCGCGACGGAGATCACCGCCGGCATGACGGCCGGCGCAGCAAAGACGCTGGCGTTCTACCCTCTGGACACACTCGTCACACGCCGAGAGGTGGGGCGGCCGCTCCTTGTGCCTCGCGAGACGCTTGAGGGAGCGAGGCCGGCGGCGATCCGCGACGTCTACGCTGGGAGTGTGCTGGCAACCCTTGGTATGCTGCCGTACGCGTTGCTCTTTCACACCGCCTTCTACCTGTGCGAGGCTGCTCTCGCGCGGTTCGCTATCTCTGCGGCGCTGGTCAAGGCGCGCCCAGAAAGATCTCACCCGCCTCCCGCCCACCCCCTCTGCCTGTCTGGCGGCTCGCTCTTCGCCGGTGCGCACGGCAGTGATGAGCCGCGCACAATGCTAATCTTCTCTCCGACCGAGGCTCCTCGCCTCGTCCTGGGGAGTGCTGCGCTGGGGTTCTGAGCCGTGCCACCCGAACGCCTTCCTCCCACCGGCCACAAAGGAGACACTGCACCTCCACACCAGCAGAGTCGGGAGGCACCCCGCTGCGTGCTTCTAACTCGTACGTCACACCCCGCCGCCTCGACCGCCCAGGTGTGTGCTGGCACGTGCGGCGCGGTGGCGGCGGCGGCGGCCGGCGGGCGTAGATGCGGATGTTCCTGTAGTGTCCACCCTAGCGCTCGAGGCAGCACGTGGGCTGTCTTCCCTCGTACTGACGCGCTGGTCCGTCGTGCTCCCGTGAGAGCACACTGCACCGAGCAGCGAGCGTGCTCACACCTCTCGCCCCCCCCCGGGGTACCACCACTGCAGGGCGGGGATGAACACGAGTTAGGGCATGGGTGGTGACGAGGAGGAGGAGACTCAACACCTCGCACCCCCGTGCCGCAGGTCGGCGTGCCCTTCGAGGGCCTCAAGCACCGCGTCCAGCTGCAGGCCCCTCCACACGCGGTGATAGCACCGCGCCCAGCTGCTGGCCCCTCCGCACTGACCCGCGCTGCTGCAGGTGCGAGGCTACACCACGCCTCGCCTCGCCCTCGCGTCGACGCTGAGGCGCCGAGATACGCCGAGAGGAGCACGATAGGAGGTGCTTGCGCCGCGAAGGTTCCGAGAAGGTTCAGGGACGCTGCCGGTGCGGTAGGCTCGAGGGCGTCGCCGGCCTGTACCGCGGCTTCGGCTCCACGCTCGCTCGCAACGTGCCGTACAACGCGCTCCACTTCGGCCTCTACGCGCTCGCCGCCTCCGCGCTGCGCCCGGCTAGACTGCCAGCGACAGAGGCGCTCTCGGGCGCGCGGCTCCAGAGCCGCTCCCGGCGCGGGCGTGAACAGCGTCTGTTCACACCCCGCCTCCCGCGAGCAGGCGCCGCGGCCGGCGCGCTCACCGCGCTGCTCACGACGCCGCTCGACCTCGTCAACACGCGGCTGCAGACGCAGCGCATCTTCACCGCCTCGGGCGCTGCGGCGAACCTCTCTGGCGTGGTCGACGCGATCAGCAGGGTGGCGGCGGAGGAGGGAGGGCCGACGGCTCTCATGCGCGGCGCCGGCTTGCGGGCGGCGCAGTACGCGCCCTCCGGCCTCCTCTTCTTTTGCGTGTACGAAGCCGTCAAGCGGCGCGCTGCGAGCGGCGGCTTATGACATTATGGGAACAAAAATGCGGGTGCACGCGGCAGAAAAAACGAGAGGCGGATTTTAAGAACCAGACGAGATCCCGGGGCGCGGGGGCTCATATACATATTTCGCGTTGTTCCACTGCCGCCGCAGTGCCACTGGAAGCCTCTTCCACCTTCCCGTTTCCACATGTAATTTCCCCTGGATTTCGACCCACGCCGCGAGGTAACCTGGAGCGATTGGCGGTTAGCGCTCTCTCAAGAGCGTTCATCGCTGCCTTCGCCTGCTCGCCTCTCGCGCCCCAGCAGAGTCCTGTCCTGGCAGGCGTAGAAGAAGTCTCCCGTCAGCAGCTCGGCCCACGTGGCCGGCTCGAGGATGGGCATGGCCCGCAGCGAGTCGTACGCCTCTGGCGCGATCTGGCGCAGCCTCGGCAGGAGGTACATCGGCATCTCGGGAAAGTCGTGGTGCTCGACATGGTAATTCTCGAAGCCGAGGTACGCGTCCAGCGCTGCGCCCGCAGCGTTCCGCGGCGTGTAGAAGGAGACGGTCGGCTGCGGGAGCGGGAGCGGCGGCGCCTCCATGGCCTCCGCAGCCTGCCGATGCTCGCCCCCGCCGCCCTCGCCGCCCCCGCCACCTCCACCGCCCTCGCCGCGCTGCTGCTGCTGCTGCTGCTGCTGCGGCTGCGGCTGCGGCTGCTGCTGCTGCTGCTGCTGCTGCTGCGGCGGCGGCGGCGGCGGCGGCGGCGGCGGCGGCGGCCTGCACACATGCGGGCACGTCCACACCCAGTTCGGGTTGAGCGGCGAGAGCCACACAGCGGACGAGCCGAGGTAGAAGGCGAGCGGCGCGGCCGAGTGCGCCAGGGAGCAGTAGGCGGCGACGCAGATGTAGCAGGCGAGCTGCGCACCCGCCTGCAGGGCGAGGCTGCGCCGCAGCGCCGCGCTGGCGCCCTCGCCGTCGTCCGCGCGCAGCGCCGCCGCCACGTAGCCCGCAAAGGCGAGCGGTGCGGCGGCGTGCACGAGCAGGTTGAGGAGCTGGTGCTCGCCCTCGCCCTGCCGTGGTAGCTCGGCTCCGCTGCGGTCGAGGACGAGTCTGTACTTGCGCGCCGGAGGCGAGAAGAGCCTCGTGGCGATGCCCAGGTCGCCGTCCGTCTGACGGCCGCGCCTCGCCCGCTCGCGCGCCTCGAGGAGCGGCAGCGAGCCGAGCCGCGTGTGGTGAGAGTGGTGCAGCAGCCAGTAGCTCGGGACGACCTGGAAGACGTGCCCGACGTTGACGCCTGCGAGCAGCGCGTTGAAGCGCGCGGTGCCAAACGGGCCGGCGAGCCGGCGCCAGCGCCCGTGCGAGATGGCATGTCCGCAATAGATTGCCCAATTCGCTCGGAGGCTGCCCACACCAAAGGCGTTCAGGCAAAGCTCGAGCGGCGGCATGTCGGGCGAGTGGAGGAGCACCGACCCGTACCAAGGCAGCAGCAGGAGGCCCAGCGCAGAGACCCACTCGTCCCTCTCGGAAGCCAGCTCACGCACCTCCGGGTGCGCGGCGAGGATCTGGGAACGTCGGCGACGATGCCATTCGGCGGCCGAGAATTTTGCGGTGCCAGCACCAACACCGACGAGGCTAGGCTGTGTCATGCTCGCCTCAGCCTTCGCCATCGGCGCCCGCATCAGGACTATCGAGAGAGACGCATGTGATTTCTTCGACCCTGCACAAAAATCTTTGGAGAGTGGACCTGAGCAACAACATGACCTGTAGGCAAATGATCGGAGTGGGAGTCAGAAATGTGGTCCTTGCGCGAGGGGAGCTCGATAGACTCGAGGGCCAGGATACGCCGCGAGGAGGACGGAGTTGCGCCGAAAGGCGAAAGAAGCCGCGAGAACAAGGGACCGGCAGGCGGCTGCGTCGCAGGACGAGGCAGAAGAGAACAACGCGACAGAGGAGGAAGTGACAAGGGAGAGAACGACGAGGGTGGGACGACCGCGAGGTGGCATGAAGATTGCAGCGAGAATCGGCGAGAGACTGCGAAGAGAGATAGGAAGAGGCAGACTCCCTAGGGTGGGCGACGGCTAGCGCACCACACACCTCTCCTTAAAATCCCTGTGTGGTGGCGGCGTGCCGTCCTCCCATCCCTCCCTTGGGTTGTCTGTTTTCTTTCTTTTCTTTCTTTCAAAAATCTTTGGCGTGAGTTGCCTTTTACCTAGGAAAAAGAAAGGGCGTCCATCCCGTCTTTTCAGTCTCACATTTTGGGTTTTGGCGGTACCGGTAGTCTCCGCACGCTGCCGCTCTCCGTTGCGCGGCGGCGGTCAAGCTCAATGCTTTTACGGCGGTTCAAAGTCCGAAAATGTAAATGCACAGAAGTGTGACAGACGTGGTGAGCGACGACTGTTGACTGCTGATGAGGACACAGCACACAGCACACAGACCGCTGTCATCTCGTGTCCTGGGTATGGAAACGAGGCACTGCGTTGCAAAGGCACTTCGCGAGACTTCGTCCCTAGTCCTATGACTCGTCCACACAGCTCGCACGGAGCTCCCTTTCTTTTTGTCGCCACGCCAACCGTAAGCAGCGGTGGCGGGAAAAGCCGACCGAGCATTGACCGGTGACCAGAGCCCTGCGCGCCGGCGAGCCCTGATCAGAGGGCCAGGGCTCGCTCCTCGCGCGAGGAGCGGTTTGACTCGCGCGCACGCGACAGGCGCGCGCTGTACAGGTCGGCCGGATCGGTCGGGTCATATGGGCCGGTGAGAGAGTCAGCCGGCAGGTCGTCCGACATCGGGAGGGGCGCCATGCCCTGCGACTCGTGAGTGCTGAGGAGGGCGGCGCTCAGCCTTTCGCCGCGCTGCTGGCTAAGCCCCCCGGCTCGGAGACGCTCCAGAAGCTGCTTGGCTGCTGCCGCTGTGCGGTTGCCAAGCGGCCGCCGGACCGCCTCTGCTGCCCGGAGCTCAGCAGAGACCTGGGCTTGCGCCTCGGCGATGGCCTCGGCGTCAAACTCCTCCGACATTCGGCGTGCGATCTCGGCATCTTGGGAGCACTCGGCGTCCGCCCCCTCCCCTAGGAGCGCGTCAACAGTCCGCTCGACCGAGCCCTCGTGGAAGTCGAGCAGCTGCCGGAGCACGTCCCTCTCGATTTCGGGGAACATGGATGCGAGGACGTCGTCGCCGCTCTCGGCATGGTCGTTCTCCGGAAACATGTCAGCCGGATTCTCCGCGAAAATGTCCATCGTGGTCAGTTGCAAAGCAGAGCGCGCCCCCAAACTTTAGCGGCGGACTGCCCGCCCTTGCCGGAGATCGCTTTTACGTCCCGTGCGTGGCTTCTTCCTTGGGTCGAACCATTTTTAACATGTAAAGAAAAAGACACGCGGTGTCGCCGGCGGACTCCTCCGATCCGGGGCGACCGCTGGGGCGCGTGCAAGCCCCACCCGGCCGGCGGATGGCAAAGCGTGAGACTATACCCGCGGGCCTAGAAGGCCCTCGCGCAGGGGGGTGGCGGGTGGGACCTAGGGTGGGACATTCATTGAGACCGGTCATGAATGAGTGCGCGACACGCATGTTGCGAGCAGCGTTGTTGATGTTTTCGCGCGTCGCCATTCACAGCCTTGTTATTTAGAAGAAAATACGTCCTCTCGCGCTGTGCGCTGGGGAAGGTTGAGGTGCGAGGGGGGGCCTGGCTGGGGATTCTGCAAGTCCCACATGGACATGCGGCATAAAGTTCAACAGCACTCACGTTGGCATGCTCGTCTCATTCGCACTCACAGCACTCACAGGTGCGCTCTCGCTTCGTATACCCTCCTCATGCTGCCGCCAGCGAAGCCGACCAGTCACGCTGCAGCTCGATCCGCAACGTGTGGACGCGATCCGGCGTCTGTTCTATGTGGGAACGCCGGCGAGCGATGATGAAGTGGCGGCCCAGCCTGGGCTGATTCCTGATCTCCCGATCGCACGATGGTCGATGATCTTCTTACCTCATCAGCAGACGATGTTGAACGTCCACCGTCCACAGTACACCCTCATGTTTGAGACGCTGCTCTCAACAGAGCCGCCATGGCTGTATCTGCACGCTCAGCTTCCGGAGCCGAGCATCGAGAATCTCGGCAACGAGGAGTATGCGCTGCCGCAGGAGTACGGCGGCGCCCATGGGCCCAAGGCTTCGTTGATCGGAACACTCATGCACGTAGTGGACGTCGAACGGTGCAAGGACGGAAGGCTCGAGCTACTCGCTCAGGGTATCGGACGCGCTGCCGTGCTGCGAGAGACCCAGTCGGTCCCGTATGCGCGGGCGGACGTGCAGTGGCTGCCAGATGCAGAGACGCTGCTCTCGTGTGAGGCCAGACGCATAGACTGGAACAGGAGCCAATTTCTGGGCGAAGCCGCCCTCGACTTGCTAGGACTGTCTGCACGAAAGCGGTTGCAGATGGCGTTGGCTCTCGCAGAGGAGCGGAGCTGGCGAGCGTACGAGCACGAAACGACGTATCCGATCCAGCTGGCAATCTCGTCGGGAATGTATCCCGCCTTCTGTCCTTTCGATACATCCGCCGCGGAGCTGGCAGTCCGCGGCGCGCCGCTCGCGCTCTCGGCAGCTCTTGAGGCGGCCGCCGCCTTAGATGGCATGCAGGAGGGAGTTCCAAGCTCATCGCACGCAGAGTTGGGCGGCGGCGCGGCGTTCACGATGAGTCATGCCCGCTCTGCGGCGGTGCGGCGTGCGTTTGAGGCGTGCGAAGCTATGCTCGAAGTATCGGATGACGCAATGCAGGCCGAGGCCGAGAGCGAGCGCGCGCTGCAAGACCTGGAACTCCAGGTGTGGCTCGAGCTGGACGGCTTCCTCCGGCGCTTTGCTGCCAACCGGGCCACGCTGATCGGCGGCACCGGAGCACCCGCGCCAAAGCAGCTGCTCGGTTTGCTGCCTCCGCCTCCCGAGAGCGGCTGGCCAGACGACTTTATTCTCGATACCGTTGCCGCTGACTTGCGCAAGGCCGCCACCAGGCGCCGCTCGCAGACCACGCTCAGCTACCAGAATGACCCCGCGCCGTTCATCCCAGCGCATCGCCACTACCCGTTGCGTCGGCGTGCGCAGCGGCTGAGCTACTCGATTTGGATTGTGCTCAAGGAACCAGGGCTGGACCTACAGCCTTTACTCGACACGGAGAGCACCACAGACAGGCTACGCATGGTGCTTCTCCGGCTTCGCGAGCTGCTCGCGCGAGAGGAGAGCGGCAGTTTGTAGTAGAGTCTTCATTCAAAGAGTTGCTAGTCCCGCGCTCACTTGTCGTTAATATGCACACTGGACTTTAAAATGTGGAACCTTTAAAATGTGATTGAGCTAAAGTGCGGTACGGCTCTAACAAACTTGTACGTTATGTAGCCCTTCAGGACCCCCCCCTCGGACGCCCACTGGGGCCTCTTAGGGTACCCCTACGCCTAGGCTTAAAAGAGGGTGGGCCCTCTGGGGCGCCTGCGGCTTAAACGGCTTAAAACCTGCCATGGCAGGTTTTAAGAGCTGCTGGGCCGCCGATTCCTTAAACGGTCTTAAACGCTTAAACGGTGCGGGAGAGCTCCCGAGGTCGATGGTCCGGGAGGCTCCCGGTAGACGCCGGAGGCCGGGAAGCTGGCTACAGTCAGCTAGCACGCGCCCCCTATGCGAGTGTATGGCTCCCCTGCCAGTGCACCAGACTTACAGATGTGTCTTCAGAGGCGGGTTTGTGCCTAATAACGGCAGTATTGGAGAAAACGGCGCGTGTGTGGCAGTGGGCAGTGGGCACAAGAGAGAGCGAGACAAGAGTGCCGGCATACATCTGACTAGTCATCTTGCGTTGGAGACATCTCTTGCCGGTCGGCTTCGTCTACGTCTTGCCCTTCCCCCATTGTTCAGAAGCGTCTTCTTCTCTTTTGGAGCACTTCGACTTTTACGAAACATAGGCAATAGGGCACTCGCGCGGGCCGCGACCTCCCGGTACAGTCTGTAGTGTTCGTGTGTATGTACTCGATACTTTTACGTGAGCGGACCCCGCGCTAAGTGCAAAGTGGCACCCTCCGCGCGCGCGCCGGCGCCGCCCTCGCGGCCCCACAGGACGAGGTTGTCCCGCAGCCGCTGCATGATGAGCGTCGAGTCGCGGTACGACGCCGCGTCGAGGCTCGCCGCACAGTCGAGCTCGGCGATCGCGTCGTCGATGGCCTGCTTTGCGCGCTCGCATGCCTCGGTTGAGTGCTGCGGCACCTCGTACAGGAAGACGGCGTAGTTGAGCGCGAGCCCGAGGCGGACCGGGTGGGTCGGCGCCAGCCCGGTCTGCGCCACCTTGGACGCCGCGCGGTAGCTCGCCTCGGCCAGCGCCGCATGCTCCTCAGCCGAGCCCGCCTCGGCCTTGTAGCGGTGGTAGTCGGCGCGCATCTTCTGGTAGAAGACCTGCGCCTCCGCGTCCTCCTGCTCCTGCTGCGTGCGCAGCCCCGGGTTCGAGGGCACGAGCCGCGAGTCGATCAGCCCGAGCACGACGCCGCTCACCTCATCGAGCTCCGCCTCGACCCGCCGGCGGTACGCCTCGGCGTGCCGCAGCCGCCGCGCCGCGCCGCGGTCGCCGGCGTGCAGCAGCTCGCGCTCGCGCTGCTCGATGCCCACGATCGTGCGCAGCGCCGACCGCCGCGCGCCCGTCACGTTCTTGAACGCGACCGCGAGCAGGTTGCGCTCGTCGATCCCGAGCGGCTCCATCTCGAGCGCGACCTCCTTCATGTGGGCGCACATCTCCTCGTACCGCTCCGCCTGCTCGGCCAGCCGGGCCATGTAGACGTTCTTCTCGACCGAGAGCATCGGGCAGACCCAGTGAGCGGTGGCTCTTGCTCACAAGCAAGCCGAGCGGGCGGGCTGCTCCAGCGGGCAAGATTTCTTAAGATACAAGCCTCTCTCACAGCACACTGGCACGACAAGGGCGCAGACTGGCGCGGACTGGCACACACACAGGCTCACCACCGGAGCGGGCAAGATAAACATCCGCGCAGCGTGAATTCCCCGTTCGGCCAAACTGCGAAGAGAGAGGAAGAGGCAGACGCCCAAGGGTGGGCGACGGCTAGCACCACACTCCTCTCCTTAAAGTCCCTGTGGTGGCGGCGTGCCGTCCTCGATTTTCCTCGCTTGGCTTTTTGTTTCTTTCTTTCTTTCTTCGGCCGAGCCCCCGCGGGGGGCGCGGTCGACACCAGAAGGGGGTCGTATTCTCTAGAGAAGACGACTTCGACCCGACGCTCCCATCCTCTCTTGCTTGCGTGTTTTCTTTCTTTCTTTTCCCGCCCAGCCCCCTCCGAGCTCCGTGTCGGTGAACCTTCTTTTCTACCAGGCTAGGATTGAGAGCAGCCTCGCTCTCAATCCTAGAAGTCGAAGGATTGTGAGCAGCACTCCTCGCAATCGTAGCATCTCTGTGCGATTGTGAGCACCCACGCTCGCAATCCTACATCTTCTAGGACTAAGAGCAGCTCCGCTCACAAGGTGACTGGTGACGCTTACGATACTACCAGCGCGCTCACAATCCGAGCAAACTCTATAGGGTTGCGAGCAGCTTGGCTCACAATCCTAGGAACATGCCTCTGATTGCGAGCAGTAGCGCGAAGGCCCCCGCACGGGGGGTCCCGGCCGACGTCATGCGCGTCCGGACGCGGCCCTCCGTACACGGAAACAGGATACTGAAGGCATTCCCGAACCCAAAACAGGATACTGAGGGCAGATATGAGCTCAGCTCAGTGAGATCTAGCAGCACATACCCTCAGTATCCAGAATAGTCAAGTCTGAAAAAAGTCGGTCCGACCGCGCGGAGCGGTCTGGCTGTCTGCAGAGCTTCCGCCCGGGCCCGCCGGGTCCTCTCGCGGCGGCGTGAAGGGAGCCTCAATCCTGGGGGGGGGCACTGATACTAGGCGCCCGCCGCGGCGGTGTGATGGCGCCGGGATCAACCACCTGCACTCGGATGAGCCGCAGCCTAATCTCTGCCGTCGCTGCAGCAGGCAGCAGCTTGCCAAAGGAGCTGCCGGTCGTCGACTTGCCGTTGACCTCGGCGATGAAGTCGCCGCCCACGCAAAGCCCGGCGGACCGGTGTCGCAAGCACCACCCTCGACCACGTTGGTGATTTGGTGGTTGTCGGGGTCGACAGAGATTCCAAGCGTCCCGCCCTTGCGTCTGAGCGTCACCGTCAGGGCGCGCTTCTTCGCGCCAGAGGAGCCGCCAGCCTCGGGTCGTCGGCGGTACTCCGCGCCCGCTTGCGGTGGGGAGCAGAGTCCGCGGCCGGCGTGATCAGTTTAAGCGCCTCGTCAAACTTCCAGCCGGCCTGTGGATCGCGCGGCACATAGACTCCTTCGTCGGTGGGGAGGTTGAGGTCGAGGAGGCCGAGCACCGACTCCATGTGGTACGGGGCGGAATCGTCGACGTTGTACTTGAAGGTGTAGTCGCCGTCCGCGCCCGACTTGGCGTAGAAGTTGCAGTGGATCTTATAGTTGGCTGCCTTAGCTTCGTCGAACGGCACGGGGAGATAGGTCCGCACGTAGCTCCCCCTCTTGCCGCCCGACTTGCAGAGCATCTGCTGCACGCGGCCGCACCACCAGTCGAACCTACCCGCGCTGTCGTACGTGGCGATCACAACGTTCGTGCCGATCTCGAGCATTGGTGTTGCACTTGTGAGCGGCGACTCCGTCGGCGGGTCGGCGGCGGGCGCCGCGGACGCGGCGGTGTCAGAAGCGGCGGGGCCGGTGCCGGTGCCAGTGGCAGCGGCGCCGTGCGCAAGGCCGGCGGGGCCGGTGGCAGCGACGCCGGACGCAAGGCCAGCTGCGGCGGGCGCAGGGGGGAGGGCGGCAGAGGCGCGGTCGCGGTCGAGGTCGAGCTTGGCCTGCTTGGGGGCAAATGCATACGCCACAACCACGCTCCAGACCGCGCTGCTGATCCGGCAAATTGGAGGACCTTGTGCCTCTCGGCTTCTCTTATGCGTGATGCCAGCAGAAAGGTCGCTGATTCATGCTCAAATGCGGCACCGCGTATCTTCGAAACAGCTGCAGCTGGCATCCGACGTGGACTAATAAAACTGCGATCTCAGTGCCCCAGCACGCAAAATTTTCTCTGCGGGGCTACCGCCCCGCACCCCGCCTGGGATGAATTCACACCTCTCAGCTGCTGTTCACACCTGGAAAACTCATCGGATTTGGGCCACTTGCCTGGGCGACCCCGGACCCTTGGCGGACGCGCATGACGTCGGCCGGGACCCCCCGTGCGGGGGCCTTCAGTAGCGCTCGCAATCCTAGAACTTTCGCGGATTACGAGCGACACCGCCCACAGTCCTACGACTTCTAGGATTGCGAGCGGGTCCCCTCGCAATCGGTGCGATCACTGTTTGGATTGAGGAGACCCCCCCGGCGCGCTGTGAGCGCTCACTCACAAGCGTTCGCGGCTGGAGCGATTGGGAGCGCCCTCTGTGCGCCTGCTAGCCAACTAGCAGTCCTTGGATCTTTGGTACGATTGTGAGCGCAGCCGCTCATAGTCCTACAAGACGTAGGATTGCGAGCGCTACTGCTCGAATTCGGAGGCATATAGCCAGGATTGTGAGCTAAGCTGCTCGCAACCCTAGAGCTTGCTCGGATTGTGAGCGCGCTGGTAGTATCGTAAGCGTCACCAGTCACCTTGTGAGCGGAGCTGCTCTTAGTCCTAGAAGATGTAGGATTGCGAGCGTGGGTGCTCACAATCGCACAGAGATGCTACGATTGCGAGGAGTGCTGCTCACAATCCTTCGACTTCTAGGATTGAGAGCGAGGCTGCTCTCAATCCTAGCCTGGTAGAAAAGAAGGTTCACCCTCCGTGTCGCGATGCGCTCCCCGCTCCCGTTCCCCTGTGTCCCTGATCGTCCTTTCCATCCCGTTTTGCAGGTGGGGATCCAGTCCTTCTCCCACCGGCTCCAGCGCAAACGAAACAGCGCGCCGCCCAGCCCCTCCGTGTCGGCGTGATGCGCTCCCCGTCCCCGTTCCCCTTTGTCCCTGATCGTCCTTCCAAGATCCTGCCGTGCAGGTGGGGATGATCCAGCAGTCTTCTCCCACCCCTCGTTTGGCGCGACCGGCTTTTCTTTTGCTGGGCTCGCGCCCTCTCGACATGCTGCTGGTGTGCCTCGTCGCGGCGCTCGCGCTCGCGCCGCCGCTGGCGCGCGTTCTCCCCGCCACCCGCCGCGTGCCGCTTCCCGTCGTCGCCTCGGCGGCGGCAGGCAAGACGCTCGCCGAGCTCAAGGTCTACGAGCTCAAGGCGGTCTGCAAGGCGAAGGGGCTCAAGGTGAGCGGAAAGAAGGCGGACCTCGTCCGCCGGATCGAGCTGTCTGCGCAGGGCATCATCGACGCGCCAAGGAGAGGGCCGCGCCGCGCGTCGGCCGCTCCAGCCGCGCCGCCGGCCGCCACCGCGTCAGCCGCCACGCCATCGCCTCCGGCCGCCGCCACGCCAGCGCCGCCGGCCGCCGCGGCGCCGGCAGCATCGCAGAGGCGGCCTCTGGATCCACCCGCGGAGCTCGCGACCCGGGCCGCGCCCGTGGACGCGGACGTCCTCAGCGCCGAGGAGGGGTATGCGGCCGACCGCGCCGCCGAGCGTGTGCGGCGGCGCGGGGAGCGGCGCGCAAAGCTGCAGTCGTACGTCGACGAGGAGTACCTCAAGGTGACGGGCGAGCTGGCGTCGGCGGCGGGCGCGCCGTACGGGCTGCTCACGCAGGTGGAGGCCGTGCGCCTCCTCGACGAGGCTCCGCCCGTCGAGCTGTCGGTCGCGCTTCCCGCCGCCCGGCTGCACAGCGACGCGGCCGCCGCGCGCGGGCGGCGGCTCGGCTGGTGCTCCGGCTTCGACGCGAGCAGCGGCACCGGCACGCTCGTCGACCTCGAGGAGAAGGCGGTCTGGCGGCTCGACCTCGCCTCGCTCGCCGTCTCGAGGGGGGTGCCTCCGGCCGAGCGAGCCCTCTCTGTGGGCGAGTTTGTAGAGTACGAGCCGGCGGCCGCCGCGGAGTTCGCGGCGGGCGGGGCGCCGCCGCCGTGGGTGCAGGGCATCCTCGGCTGGCCGCTCATGTGCGAGGCGCGCGCCACCGGCGCCGAGGCGCTGCTCTCCGGCCGCCAATGACCGGCAGCGTGCGACGCGTGTAGAGAGGGCGGGGGCCGGCGAGACTTAAGCGTCGCGTAAATATTCTAAGTTCTGGACGCGCGCACTGGGAAAAAGAAAGAAAGAAAACAGATCCCCCAAGGGATGCACCGACTTTTTTTTGTTGACCTCGAGGAGGCACCCCCCAAAACATATCTTGAAGGGATATGCCGAAAGAAAGAAAGAAAGAAAACAGACACGCCAAACGAGGGATGGGACGAGGACAGGGTCCCCACCTGCACGAGCAGGATTTTGGAAGAACGATCAGGGGGACAGGTGGGGCTCTCCTGCTCCTGACAAGGGACACGACAGGCTCGCAGCGCGGTGCGCGGTGGACTCCCACATCCACTGGCGGTCTCATCTCAGTCTAGCGACCTGCCTCCAGCTTGTCGCTGGCAGTCTCTCCTACCACAGGCACACTGACACAGGGGTGGCAGGGGCGGCGGCACGAGTCTCCCACATACTATGCGGGCCTCACTAGAGGTGCGGCCTGTGCGTGTCCTCGCCCTTGAGGGGGGAGGGGAAGGGGCTGTGTGTCTGTGCATGTGTGTGTGTGTGTGTGTGTGTGTGTGTGTGTGTGTGTGTGTGTGTGTGTGTGTGTGTGTGTGTGTGTGTGTGTGTGTGTGTGTGTGTGTGTGTGTGTGTGTGTGTGTGTGTGTGTGTGTGTGTGTGTGTGTGTGTGTGTGTGTGTGTGTGTGCGTGTGCGTGTGCGTGTGCGAGCCGCCCTGAACGCCACGAGCGCGCCGCGAGCGCCGTAGCGCCGGCGAGCGCCGTCGGCAGCGCGCGACCGCCACCCAAAAGCGGAGGTACATCAGGAGCCGCAGCCGGCCTGCTCTATCGGGATAGGCCCATTCTGACCGCAGCGAATATGTTCACACCCGAGCGGAGGCCAATTGATTCGCGAGGCTCTGGCAAAAGTGCGGTTGGCAACGGGCTCTTGTCCGTGCAAGCCTTCAGCTGGTGCCAAAACGTACCAAAACGTCCGTCCCGTCGACCAAATACGCGGTCGGTAGAAATGTGGCTTGCTTGCAAGAATGGGATGCCGACAGGCGTCAGGCGGCGCATGCCGAGAAGTCGCTTGCCGTGCGGGAGCTCGTGCGCCTCTCCCTGCGCGTGCAGTCCACGGGCGTCGTCGCGGAGCTTCATCTCGACACGGCACTGGTTGCTACGAGCGGCGGCGGAGCTGATCACGAGCGACGAATTCGCAGGGGATGCCAGGCAACAGATGGGCGCGCAGATAATTGGCGTGGCGTCCTAAACAACGCACGAGCATGCTCAACTGCTGCGCGACGCTCTCTGCGACCCCGACTTTCTTTATGCGCTTTGCCATTCGCCGCCGCATTTCCTAAAGCGACACTAGCACTAGATGCGTCCTGGCATCGGGAGGGTCCGCCTAAGAGGAAGTATGCATGTACTTTGTGCGTGGAGTGTCTTCCCCTTTTGCGCAGCAATACCTTAAACTTTTATAGGCCCTCCAAATTCGGGTCGGAGCGTAGCGGAGTGGGCCCCGAGTTTGAAAAAGGCGACGGACGCTTGCGTCCTAGCTCCAACATCGCATCACACTCCTCTCCTTAAAATCCCTGTGTGGTGGCGGCGTGCCGTTCTCCCATCCCTCCCTTGGGTTGTCTGTTTTCTTTGTTTCTTTTTTCCAACATCGCCTCCCCGGCGCAGAGGGGCCCCACGCCACGCCGCTCGCGGCGGTCCTATTCCCAGCTCCGCTGAGCGATCAGACGTTATTCTTTTTTTGTGACCTGTGTGGACCGACCGTGATCGCGTCAACAGGAGCTTGTGGCAGGGGTCACACGGCAGCGACGAGAAGAGGAAAGGGCGGCGTACGACGACAACATGTCGCAGTCGGGCGGTTCGGAGCCAGAAGTGACGCGCGCAGACGCAGTCCCACAGTTGCAATCAGCGAGTCCCGCTGCATCACCAGTGGGCCCTGCCGCAGATTCAGCCAATCCTGCCGCAGCACCAGCGAGCCTTGCCGCAGCACCAGCTTCCCGCAGCTCCAGCAGCGCACCGATCGGCCGTCCGCGAGGCCGCGCGCCACACGGAGAGAACGGGCGACCAAAGGTGTGGGATGCCGTCCAGGGTTGCTGGCTCGAGCAGGCTGGCGGTGCGGCGGCGGAGTCCGGCTCCGCAGCTGGTGCGGCGGCGAGCGGCGGCGGTGCAGCGGAAGTACAAGTCCGCGAGTACAAGTGCGGCACGTGCGGCTTCCTGCCGAAGAAGAAGCAGCATGACTGCGCGGCAGTCCTTGCCGAGAAGTCGGCCGGCGAGGCAAGCCGTGGCTCCGGCGAAACCACGGAGAGGTTGCCGAAGCTGAGCGGCGGCGGGTGCTCGCCCGCGGCCGGCAGGCCGGCCATGCCCGCGCGCGTGGACGTTGAGCAGCCGCCGGACTGGCTGGCGGCGGGTGCCGAGGTGGAGGTCGAGATGGGGGAGGAGGGGCTGCGTGGCAGCCTGTACGGAGGCAAGGTGCTGCAGCTGCGGAAAGGCAAGGCGCTCGTGCAGTACGCCGCCTTTTGCGTCGAGGCGGAGGAGGAGGGCGGCGGAGACGGCGAGGCGCCGCTGCTGACCGAGTGGACGAGCACCCGCCTCCTGCGGCCGCCGCCGCCGCCGCCACCGCCGGGCTTCCCATCGCAGCTTCCCGCCGGCAAGCTGCTCTCCCTGCTGCACGACGACGGCTGGTGGGAGGTGCGACTGCTCGAGAGCCGGCCCGCGGAGGCCTCCTTCCTCGTCAGCTCCGAGCTATACAAGCGGCAGCGGTGGGCGAGGATCGTGCTGCGGTCGCCTCGGGAGCAGTGCCTCTTCACGGCAGTGTGCCGTGAACAGGTGGGTGGGCGCTGAGGTGCTGCGGCCGCGCTGGGTGCTCGCCGACTCGCACTGGCACGCCGAGGCTGGCTGCCCGCCCACCACGCGGGCATGGCCCTCTCGAGTGTGTGGAGAGGCTCGCCTACCGTCCGCCTGCCGCCCGTAGGTTGGCGGCGCGGCGCCGCCGCGCAGCGCGGAGGAGCGAAGCACGCCTTCGAAGCGGCGGAGCCGGTGCGGCGAGTGCGCAAACTGCAGGGCGACCGACTGCGGCCAGTGCAGGCCGTGCAGCGACATGGCAAAGTTTGGCGGCCCCGGCACCCTCAAGCAGCCCTGCGCTCGGCGGGTGTGCGAGCATTTGCGGGCGGGCAAGCCGGCCGAGGGCGGCGGCAAGCGAGACGGCGGTGGTTTCGCGCTCTGCGCCCTGCCCGCCGGCCTCAAGGCGACCCTGCCCGCCCACGAGGTTGCGAGGCTCGGGCGCGCGCTCCTCGCGTCCGTCTCTGCGAGGCCGGAGGGGAGGGTGCTCGAGGCGGCCTCTTCGCCGCCCGAGGGGGAGGCCTCTCGTGGCGGCGCCTCTCTGGGCGAGATCCGCGCGCGGCTGGACGGGGGCGGGTACGGCGAGGACGTCTCCGCCTTCGCTGCAGACGTGCGCGCACTCTACGTCCGCCTGCACTCTACGGTGGCCGAGGGCCGGGCGGGCGGCGGGGCTGGCCGCGGGGCGGCGGGTGGCGGCGGCTCGCCGCTCGCGCACGCCGGGCTGCTCGCCTTCGAGGAGAGCCTCGCGTCGGATCTCGCGGCGTGCGTGAGGCGCTCCGCGGCGGGCGAGCAAGGGCCGGCGGCCAAGCGCGCCCGGCACCGCGGCCCACGGCGCGAGGCGGAGGAGGAGGAGGAGGGCTCGGAGAGGGGGCACCGGCGGTGAGCGGGGCCGCGGTGAGGGGTCGTTAGGTGCGAGGAGGAGGAGCTCGAGAACTTGCGCTCCTTCCTCGTCGAGTGCGGCGGCGAGGGCGACTCTGTGCTCGCGGGCTGGTCGGTCAAGCTGTGCGTGCGCCCCGCCGGCGGAAAGGCGGGCCTCTCCTGCCCTCTCGACCAAGTCGCCAGCCCTCACCCTCACCCCAGCCCCGACCCAACGCAGGTCGCGGGCGACTACTTCCTCTACTACTCGGCCACGGGGCGCGTCTTTCGCTCGCGGGCCGAGGCTGCCCAGCAGTAGCACAGCAGTAGCTGATAGTGGAGCGGTAGCCAGCGAGCCGAGGTTGCGCGCCGCCACCGGCTACTCATCAGCTGATTCATCAATAATGGCGGATGACCGACCGCTAGGTTGCGCGCCACTACAAGCTCGACCTTGAGGCGGGCCACCGCGCAGCGCAGGAGGCGCGGGCGGCGGCCGCGGAGGCGGAGGCGGAGCGGCGGCGCGCCATCGCAAGAGGAGGAGGAGGGGCCCGCACGGCGCTTCTGTGAGTCGCTTCCCTGTCCCACGCCGGGGTAGGCGCGCAAAGGAGGCGGCGGAGGGGTGGGGCGGCGCGCCGGCGGTTCCAGACGCTAGGCGTCGAGCGCGCCGCGGCAGGGGAGGGGGGGGGGGGTGAGGGGGAGGAGGCGGTCACCAGTCGCCGCCGCGTGACCGGTAGGCTGGCGCGCATGGCATCCCTGACTGGGGAGGCGGCCCCGGGCCCGCGGCCTGCGCCGAGCGAGCTCGGTGCTGCGTTGGGAGGAGTACCTTGCAGCGCGGCTGGGCCGCTCCTCGCCGTGGCCGACTTTGTCGCCGCGTTCGGGGAGGCGCTCAGCTTGCCTCAGGTGTGTGGGCTGCAGGGCTTGGTGTCGATGCTCGACGACACGAGCGGAGTGCCGCCGCAAAAGCTGGCAGCGCTGCACGTCCGTTTGCTCCACCTCCTGCTGGCGGACGAGGCGGCGAGCGGGTGGTGGCCGAGAGACGCGCAGCCGAGGGACGAGCCGCGCGACAGGCCAGGAAGCGGCGGCGCAGCGAGCGCAGAGGGAAGCAGCGCAGTGGTCGGTGGGGCGGACGAGGAGCCGCAGCAGCGCGTCCTGCGCGGCTCTCAGCTCGTCGGCTGGCGCATCTCTGCGCTGATGAGCCAGCCCACGCACTCGTCGCCGTCTCTCCCTGAAGCGGAGGAGGAGGGGGAGGAGGAGGAGCCGGCTGAGGCGCCGTTGGCGTCGGCGGAGGCAGCGCCGGTGGGGGCTGGCGGGTGGGCGGTCGAGGGCCTCGTCGGCTTCCGGCGGCGGCAGGAGCCGGGCCAGGCGGGGCGGGAGGAGTGGCTCGTCAAGTGGGCTGGCTACTCGAGGGGCAGCAGCACTTGGGAGCCCCTTGACAACCTCGGCGACAGCCTTCACGCGCAGGCCCCCCCGCAGCCCGCCGTGCAGCGCCCTAGCTCCTCTCGCACCGTTGCATGCCCCGCACCACCCTCCACAGGCGCGGCGGCTCCGGCGTGAGCACGACCGCCGCGGCGGCGGCAAGCCGCACCCCTCCACCGGAGTGCTGGTTGGCTTCGACGAGCGATCGGGCCTGCACACCATGGCCCTGGACGAGACGGCAGCCACGGTCGAGCTGCTGCTCGAGGGGGGTGGGGCGGTCGAGTATCGCCTCCTCTCCTGCATCGCGCCCCCGCGTCTGCTGCGCCGCGAGCGGCCGCGCCGGCCTGCTCCGGCCGAGGTTGGCATTGCGGATTGGAGCCCGCCATCCCGCGCGGAGCTGCTCCCGCCCCGGACGCGCGCTGTGAAGAGACGCCGTTCGCGCCATAGGCCCGCCGTCGCCGCGGCGAGCGCGGTTCGCCTGGCAGACTCGTGGGCGCGGGGGGAGATGCCGCCCATCGAAGACTCGCCGCCCCGGCCCGCAGAGGCTGCAGAGGCCGCGGAGCCCGCAGAGGCAGCCGGCGGCGACGGAGCCCCGCCACCGAGCCGAGGGGCTGCAGCGGACACCGCGGCGGCGGGCGTCGCGCCGCCGGCCGCCTCTGACGGTGCTGCCGCCTCTGCCCCGGCGGCAGCGCGTCGCTCTTCCCGACGCCGCGCCGCGCGGCCGCTGGGTCCACAGCCCGCGCGGGGTCAGGCGCGCGGAGGCGCGCAACAGCGCCCCTCCTCCGAGAAGGAGGGGAGCGGTTCGGCGGTCGAGTCGTTCCTCCAACGCTCGGCGCTGCAGGAGGCGGTCCAGCCGCTGCTGGCGGCGCCGCCCGCCGCCCTCGCCTCCACCTACAGCCGGCTCTCGCCGCACGCGAAGCTAGCTCTCCTCGGCTTGCTCGTCAACGCCGCCGCCGAGACGGCGGCGGCGGCCGCCGCCGCCGAGGCGCAGCAGCGGCGGTGGCAGGAGTTGGACGTGGAGGGGCGGGACGCGAGGCGCGGCCGGCGGCGGGCCCGCGAGGCGGTTCGGGCGGCGGTGGAGGAGCACTTTGAGCTCAAGCCGCGAGGCAAGCGCAAGGGGCAGGGGGGCAGGGCGGAGGGGGGCAGGGCGGAGGCGGAGGGCGACGCGCTGGTGCAGCGCGCAAAGAGTGTGGTCGCGCGGCTGGCTGCAGCGGGCGTGCTCGGCCCGCCCGCGCTCGTGGTGTCGCGCGCCGAGCTCACCGCGTCGGAGGTCGCGCAGGTGCGGTCGCGGTAGCCCTCTAGCAAGCACTCTCAAAGACACGCACTCGACGGTCTTCGACGGACATGTCGGGCAGTCCACTGCCTCGTGGCACACTCTTGTCCTCGCAGCCTCCACTGTCCTCGTAGCTCACGCACCGCGAGAGGCGACGGATGCAGTGCGCGCCACTGAGCAGGGGGTCGAGCTCGAGCTCATATCTTAATTAGCCCTTAAATTATTCCTTAATTAAGAGCAGGGGGGCGAGCTCGAGCTCATATCTTAATTAGCCCTTAAATTCCTTCATTAAGAGCAGGGGGGCGAGCTCGAGCTCATATCTTAATTAGCCCTTAAATTCCTTAATTAAGAGCAGGGGGTCGAGCTCGAGCTCGAGCTCGCCGGCGGCGCCGGAGGCGCCGGAGGCGACGCCGCCAGGACGGCACGTTTGCGCGACGAGCTCCGGAGGCGGCGCGAGGCGGCGACGGCGCGGCGCGACGGCGCGGAGGCTGCCCTTCGCGAGGCGGTGGAGGGAGCGAGCCGCGACGAGGCCGAGTGTGCCTCCCGGCTGACGAGGCGTGTACCGCGTCTCTTCACTCCTCCTCGCTGTGAACAGCTCCTCTCGGCGCTCGAGCTCGCGCACGCGGCGCTGCTGGTCGGCGACTCCTCCGCCGACGGGGTCGGGCCTCGCAGGGGGGAGGGGCAGGGCTGCCGCTGGATGACGAGGGAGGTGCTCGACGCGCACGTCGCGCTGGCCGCTCTCGCCCACGCAGAGGACGACGAGCACGACGACCGCCGGCGTAGGGCGGCGATGGCGCAGCTCTGCGTCCGCACCGAGAGCCTCGGCGTCGACCGGAGCGGCCGCCGCTACTGGGCGCTCGACCGGCGCGCAGCTGCGGAGGGAGGAGGGCGCGGGGAGGGCGGGGAGGGCGAAGGTTCCGCTGCCGTGTGGGCGGAGCCGCGCGCGGCGGCGCAAGCTGGCTGGTGGGAGCTGTACCGAGGATCGGCGTGCGCGCAGCTCGCGAAGTCGCTCGACCCGAGGGGGGTGCGGGAGCGAGCGCTCCAGCTGGAGATGCGGTCGCGGTTCGGTGTGTGATTTTTCGTAAAAGCGGCGCCCCCGCGCCGATGAAGCAGGGAACGCCGCCTCGGCCCGCTCGCTCTGCCACCCGCGCCGCGCCCGCCGCCGCCCCGGCCCCGCCGCCGCCCCGGGCCGCGCCCGCCGCGGAGCGCGGGGTTCGGCCAGCGTCGGATAACACAATCTTGAGACAATACTCCACGAGACAGAGACCTGGGGCTGCTTCTGAGCCCCGGCAACGCCATGCTATGCGTGCGCCCCCTCAACCAAAGATCTTCTTGTAGCCCTTCTCGCCCAAGATTGCCTTGTATTTCTCGTCAAACTTGCCCTGCGGCAGCGGGGGTCCAGGGGGGTCAACGGACACGCGGGGCCAGCGATGCTCGGCGACTGCTCAAGCTAGCAGCACGGCCGCGGCAGGGCGGTGCGCGTCTCGGTGCGCGCCTGGTTCTGCTTGAGCTGCTCCATGACGCCTGCATCGAGCCGCTCGCCGAGGAAGTCGCTGAGGGTGGAGGTGCGGTTCGCCAGGTAGGCGAAGAAGCCGGCGGCAAGCACGTGCTCCCACGGCCCTGCGGGCGCGATCGGGGCGTGGTCGGGGGGCGGAAGCCGGCGCGGAGGCGGGCTGGAGCGCACGGTGGAAATACGGCGCTTTTCTCAGGGCGTTGCAGTAGATCATGGTCCACACGCCAAAGGCGCTGCCGCCCAGCGTGCACGCGGCGAAGCCCATGGCGCCCCAGCTCCCGTTCGAGCAGAAGCGCTGCCCGGCGGCGAGCGCTCTCTGCTACAGCGCTCGAGGAAGAAACACATTTGGCTTTCTTTCTTTCTTTTGCATAGGCGAGAAGGGGGAGGCAATTGCCGCCCGTCCACCTCACAGGATCCCGATGTGGTTCTCGAAGGCGGTGCACAGGCGCGCGAGCGCGGCGGCGGCGGAGAGCGGGTACTCGGAGATGGATATCGTCTCGTCGACGGGGTATTCCGGGCTCACCGAGCCGTGCGCCATCGCGCCGGCCACGAAGACTATCGGCACGTCCTGCGGCAGCGCCGGCACGTACTGTGGCAGCGAGACGAGGCGCCCACCGTAGGAGAGGCTGACGAGGCGGCAGTTTGGCGGCAGGTGGTCGATCACGGGGTTCTTGACCACCTTGAGCAGCTTGTGCGGCCCGTTCGACGCGCGGATTGACAGCTTGAACAGCAGCTGCGTCATCAGCCCACAAAAGCGGCGAAACGTGCGCGGGATCCGAATCTGCGGCGAGACCTGCAGGTGTCGCGCGCGCAGCGGGGCGTCAGCGCGCGGCGAGAGGGCGGGTCGGCCGGGTCGGCCGGACGGAACCTCGATCAGCACGCCCTTCTCTGTGCGCACAAAGAGCTTGAGCAGGCCCGCCTTGTTGAGCGGCGAGTCGAGCAGCATCAGCATGCTCTGGTGAAGAATGTCGGGCCGGAAGGCGGCTGGGTCGCGCTGGTGCTTGCGCAAAAAGTTGCCGTGGTCGTCCGAGTTGAGCAGCACATGCTCCGACCCCACCTTGCCCGTCTCGAGGCACGCCCGCTCGAGCACGACAATCACACGCGGCTGCTTGGCGACGCGGCCATCGGACTCGTAGGTGGAGCACGCCGGCTCCTCGGGTGGGGCGGCGGCCGCCGGCACGTCGACGCGCTTCGCCTTCCGATCCGTACCCGACTCGGCGCCCTTGCGCTTCTTCATCCGGCTTGGACACGAGGCTGTGGGTTTTTCACAGCCTTGTTGTTGAGAAGGATATACCGCAAATGGCGCTGTGCGTTGGTCTGTGAGAGAGGGTGAGGTGCGAGCCCTGGAGGCCCTGGGGATGGGGGGAGACACATACGCACAACCCCGGGCCCGAAATCGCACAGTGACAGTCAGACATGCTGACTTGGCCTGTACATACATGTACTTTTCCGGCAAACAAAAAGGAAAAATTTGCGTTTCCGGAAATTTCCAGGGAAAACAGAGGGTGTTTGGTGCTCCATTCTGGAAACTCGCGACTTTCCCTCCCTGAGTCTGAGAGCTGGTCTGGGGCAAAATCTGAGGCAAAATCGAGGAAACCGGCAGCATCCCGGGCTTTTTCCAGGTATACCCGGGTTTTTCCAGGTATACCCGCAAAATACCCGGTATTTTGCCGATTTGGCTGATTTTGGGCCCAAACCAGCCTCAGATTCGGCTCAGAGCCCGGAAAATTTGATGGTTTCCCCGGGAAAATAGAGAGGAAAAGAGAGGGTGCTGTAGAGAAAAAAGGAAGAGGGAAAGAGACGGGGTGCGAGAGGAAAAGCATATACAGCCTAAATGCTGACACGCAACACGGGGTCCCAGGGAAGGCGAGCAAAAACCTTATCGCGCGCGCTAGACGCCGACTCGGAGGCCGCACCGGTCATCGCGCAGCCGGAGAGAGAGGGAGGCGCTCAATCGCCGAACTCGGGTTCATTCACGCTCCCTCGCTCCCCACGCGCCACGGCCACACGCCGCCGCCCAGACCCCAGTTCCCAGAGCTGAGGGAGGGTGCGAGAGGATGTAGAGTGTAGAGCGCTGTAGAGCTGTAGAGATGTAGAGAGCGCTCTGGAGCGCTGTAGAGCTGTAGAGCTCTACATCCGCCGCGTGACGCGAGGCGGGTGCGTTGTAGAGCGATGTAGAGCGCGATTTTGCTGTAGAGTTTGTTGTCGAGGCTCTACACAGCCAAACCGCCGGGAAGGCAGTGACTCAAAGAGGTCGAGTCGCACTAATGGGGTGTCTCCGAGCTTACTGGAGCTCTGATGGACGGCCCTGACTATCCCTGACACACAGAGAGTCACTCTGACGGCACACAACACCCTATAACTGCGTCATGACCAGCCTGCCATGCGTCGCCGGTGCCGCATTCGTCGCACCAGTGCTTCTTTAGCAGGCGGTGGACTGTCGGCTGCGAGGACGGTCGCATTTGCTCGAGGCGAGAGGCGAGCATTCAGACGCATTGCATGCGCCATGACTCGCGCCAGCGCGTGCGGGAGCTCCTGGCTGAGCGTTGAGTCCAGGCGAGTTGCGCTGGCCACTATCGCTACGCCGAGCCGAGCTGACGCGCCGAGGCGCCGGCCAGCCGCAGCCCTGAGGCATGCCACAGCAGCAGAGGCACCTGCCACCCATTGGGCGGGCACACAGAAGGCCAGGGCAGCACACTGGCAGGTGCAACGCGCCTCATGTCGGAGAGCGAGCGTGCCTCGTTCGCCGCTTATGATGTGAGAGTTTGTTGTAGAGATTTCACGTTGTAGAGGGCCTCTACATCGCTCTACAACGCACCCGCCTCGTCACGCGGCGGATGTAGAGCTCTACAGCGCTCTACAGCGCTCCAGAGCGCTCTACATCTCTACAGCTCTACATCGCTCCGTACACTCTACATCCTCTACACCCTCCCTCAGTCCCAAGAGGTGAGAGGACTCCCAGACGCCAGAGGCGTGTACCGTGTTCGGCCGCATTTTCGCCATTTTTCGCTTTTCGCCTGCGCGTCCTGGGGGCGATATTTTAAGTGTATATGAAGCTCTTACATTGCTTCATTGGTGGCACTCACAGCACCGCACAGCGCACAGGCAACAGACACCGAGGTGCGTCTGGGGGGGCGACCCCCCCATCTTTGTTTACCGAATGCGTCTCTGGATTAGAGTGCGTCTAGTAGGCCTCCTACTTAGACGCTCGCTGTCCTCGGTATGCTCGAGCATCCTAAGATGCGCGAGTCTATATTAGTTGCTCCGCGCATCCCGAATTGCTCGCGGCATCTCCGATTGGCGTTGCTGTCTCAAAAGACGCGCCGCGGTGCATACTGTGAACAGCGCGTGTCTCAGAAGACGCGCGCATATTTTGAACAGCGTGTGGATCTCAAGAAATACACGCACGTATAAAAACAAAAAAGAAAACGAAAATCGGTGTGGCGAGCGCTGCGCGGCGGGCCGTGCCCCCGGCTGTGCGCCGCGGCTGCTGCGCTACTACTCGCACAGCCGCGGCGCGCCCACCCGAGCACTCGTGGGTGGGCGCCCTATAGCCTCTCCGCGCAACGTGCTGGGGCACGGACAGCGGCTCTCACGTGTGGCAGCGGCAGCAGGCCCACCGCTGCACCGACTCACACTGAACAGCACGCACAGGACACAGTCACAGAACACTGCCCCTGACGCCACTCACGGCCACGGGCTACTCAGACTTGGACACAGGCACCTCGCTTAGCACTCCGTGCACGTGGCTGCCGGTTGCCGTCACCAGCGCCGCTTCCTGCCCAGATCAAACACCTGCGACGTGGCGGAGGCGATGAGCGGCCCGCGGTCGCCGTGAGAGCGCGCGTGGTGGGCGACGGCTCACCGATCGAGCGGAAGCGGTCACGCTGTGGGGGCGGCGGAAGCGGTCACGCTGTGGGGGCGGCGGCGAGGCGGGCAAGCCACCCGCAGATCCCCAGAAGGACGCCGTCGCGAGGTCGAGGGCGGGCGGCGGGGGCGGCGAGAGCGAGGCGCGAGGCGCGAGGCGGTGTTGGCGGCGGCGGTGGCGCGGGCGGCGGCGGTCACGGAGCGGGGGCGAGAGGGTGGTGGCGAGCAAGACACCCGTGCGCGCTGCGCGGTCGCCGTTCTGACTCACATGCCTGCGGACAGCGCCGACGGGTGGTGAGGAGGGCGGCGAGCCGGCGGGCACGGTGTGCGCGCGGTCGCCGCGCGCTGGTGGGCGACAGCTCACCGAGCGAGGAGCGAGGAGCAGGAGCAGGAGCAGGAGCAGGAGCGAGTCGGGATGCCCGGTCCCTCAAATCGCCAAGTCAAACAAGAAAAACCGCGCGGCTGGCCGACTCTCGGAAGTACGCTGTCTTCCGTGTCTAGGCGCACGCCCACGCCCTCAGCCTCGAACTGGCCCCGCTACCTGCCGCGCAAACTGGTTGGTGGGGGGGGAGAGGCGGCGTCGCCGTCGGATCGTCGTAAGCAGTGCATGCAACTTTGGTCTTTGCGCCCAGAGCTCGTGGCGCGAGCAGATGCATGCGCGGTGCTGAGAACCTGGTTCTCCAGGAGGGGCAGGCCGCGAGGAGAGACCTCACACGAGCACTCAAGGCAGGGCCCCCAGGGGGTGCCGAGAGATCACACCGCCTTTTCGTGCTCCCTGGCTCCCTGCTCCCCCCTCGGTGCCCGGTGCACCCGACACACGGTGTCTCCTGAGACGCTTCCCTGTCCAAGTATAGTAAAATGTGAGCTAGTATGCAAGTGCCATCTCAGAACAGCTGTGCATCTATAGATGCTTGTGGCGTCTAAGATGGAACGCGTAACAAAAGACACGGCGCGGCTATCTCCAGGACAGCCATCGCATCCTAGAATGCCCTGTGTACCCGAGACACATGGTATCTTTGAGATGAAAAGTGCGTCCAGAATGCGTTTTTGCATTCTAGGACGCATCGGTAAACAAAGATGGGGGGGTCGCCCCCCCAGACGGTGCGAAGGAGCTGCGAGGAGGCGAGAGCCGACACCACACGCCCTGACACGCGAACAGCCGACTCAGCGCACGGCGAGGACCAGCGAGACAGACGAGAGACTACTTACTCCCTCGGATCCGGGAAGGAGCCCGAACCCAGGCAGAAAGGGAAAAAGATAAATATAGAAGACCACCAGATGAGAGACGTCAATGGGAAGAAAAGGAACTCAGTACTCACAACGCGTCCAGGCCCACCAGCCTCCTCATCTGGCTCACCGCCTCCTCGAGCGGGTTCGTCGTCTCCGCCGCCACCTCCTGCCGCACGGCGCCGAGCCAGCGGTCGACCACCTGCTCGGAGCCGTACCAGCGGTCGGTCGGCAGCGTCGTGCCCGCCTCGTTGATCGAGTGCAGCACGCCCGGCAGCACCACCTGCCTCGCGCCCTCCAGCAGCGTCCACTCGAGCGGCACGACGCCGTCGCCCGTCACGTCGCCGCGGCCGCACGTCATCAGGTACGAGTTGAAGGCGACGCGGGCGGCGGAGCCCTCGCCGCGCATCGCGTACACGTTGTCCACCGACGCCGCGGCCGGGCTCTGCGCCTTTGAGTCGTCTCCAACGATGGCGTCGCCTCCGACGGTCACATAGGCGATGCCCTCGCGGGCGAGGAAGGCGCCGGGGTAGTCGTCATTGACGGCCCGGATCACGCCCTGCGTCATGTCGGGCGTACCCTCCGGCGGCGGGAAGTGCGGCGCGCCGAGCGTGACAAGGCCGCTCACCAGCTCGGCAGGAGCAGCCGCGCCGCCGCGCCACGCGCCGCCGTCGGAGAGGGCGGCGCGGCTCAGCCAGCCGCCCGCCGAGTGGGCGATGAGGAGCACCTTCTTGCCGCCGCTCTGCGCGTGCGCCTCCTCCACGGCGCCGCGCAGACGGTCGATGAACCACGAGTAGGCGGGACCCTCCGGCGTCGCCCACGGCCGCCACACGATCGCCGCGAGGAGGCCGAGGATCACCCGCGCCCACTCGACCCGTTCGCACGGCATTGTGCGCACGTCGGTGAAGCCGCGGCGCGCCAGCACCGACTCGAGGCCCACGTCGGCGTCCTGGCCGAGCGGCGTCTTGTAGTCGATGTCGGCGTTCCCGAATCCGGGGACAATGACGACCGGCGAGTCCTCCAGCGCCATCGCCGATCTGCGCACGAGAAGAGGCGGGCGCACGAGAAGAGCGCTGCTGAGGAAGAGCATCGCTGAGTCGTCTCGGGCTGGTCGGCGCGGGGAGGAAAGAGAGAAAGGGAATACCCAACAAGAACACAACGCAGTCTGGGCAGAGGAACGAGAGAAGAATATAGGGTGGATAAAGCGCCTGTTCACGGCATGGAGGGTGAGTCACACCGAACGTACCGAGCGAAGAGCTGAGCGGAAGGAGGACGGGGAAGATGACTCAGAGGAGGACGAACCAGTGGAAATTCAGTTGTTTGTCAGATGTCACGATGCATCCGAAGGGGACCCCAGCGCCGGCATCATCCGTAGAGGCACGAGTGTTCGAAGAGAGAGTGGACCTGAGCAACAACATGACCTGTAGGCAAATGCTCGGAGTGGGAGTCAGAAATGTGGTCCTTGCGCGAGGGGAGCTCGATAGACTCGAGGGGCCAGGATACGCCGCGAGGAGGACGGAGTTGCGCCGAAAGGCGAAAGAAGCCGCGAGAACAAGGGACCGGCAGGCGGCGGCGCCGCAGGACGAGACAGAAGAGAACGACGCGACAGAGGAGGAAGTGACAAGGGAGAGAGCGACGAGAGTGGGACGGCCGCGAGGTGGCACGAAGGTTGAAGCGAGAATCGGAGAGAGACTGCGAAGAGAGATAGGAAGAGGCAGACTCCCTAGGGTAGGCGACGGCTAGCGCATCACACTCCTCTCCTTAAAATCCCTGTGTGGTGGCGGCGTGCCGTTCTCCCATCCCTCCCTTGGGTTGTCGGTTTTCTTTCTTTCTTTCTTTACAACGCAGTCTCTCACATGACAAGCGATCCCACGACAGCGATTGTGGGGACTACATGACCCGTACGTGAGGGGTGGAGGGGCCCGTCCGCAGAGCTAGGCGGCGCGGGCACCCACACACTCCCACCCCACCACCCAGAGCTCCTAAAAAACAGGGCTCCAGGCCCCAAATGACGTGTGAGTGTTAGAGTTGTTTGGTATTGCTAAAAATCTCTCAGAGCTCCTGTGCCACTAGCCGCCTCGCTTCCGCGACACGGGATGGCAGGCACGACTCGGCAACCGCGAGCCGCTCACTCCCCCAGTCCCATTCCAGCATCACTCGCTTGCTTTTTTTTCGCTCCAGTCCTGCGGATCTTCATTAGTAGACCGGAGGGCTACGAAGCCTTTCACACTCCAAGGGGCTGTTCCAGCATCTTCCCCGTAGCGACAGAAGGAAGGGACTTGAGAAACGGCTAGGGAAAAAGAAAAAATAGGACAGTTCTCAGACAGCTCGGCTCGCCTCTCAAGCAAGGCGCCCGTGTTTTGCGAGAACTTGCTTTGTTTGGCAAACGCTTGCTTCGGCACTCACCGCCAGCGGCACTTCTATGGAACACGCGCGCCAAAGGCTTGTCTTCACAACTGGCACGCGCTTCTTCATAAGGGAACCCGGACGGCGCGCACAATTAACTCCCAACCGTGTGTTGTCGCTATTTCTCTGCCGCGGACAAAAAATAAGAAAATGCTCCTCACAAGTCCGCCAGGTGACACGCTCGACTTTCGCCGCGGCGCCTGCAAGGCCGATCGGCAGGAATCAAATAGTCGCCCGTCTCCGCTGCCCTACTCAGCGTACAGTCGCTGGGTGCGGACGGAGCACTTGGAGTGCAGTTAGCAGCCGGACGCAGGCTTGGTTCTCGCGTGCTGTTCTCATCTTTGTCGGTGCGGTTGACGTGGTGGCAGGAGCGCAGCTAAGCCGGAGGTTGTCCTGCGGGAGCCGGAGGCTGTCCTGCGCTGAGCTTGGTTGGCCTTTGTGCTGTGGGCTCGGGTCTGCCACCGAAGCTTCCTCAGCTGTAGGTTTGAGATGCCGCGGCTCTACTATTCGCTCGCTATCCGAGCTCTCTCTCCGGCGAAGGCTGCAGCTTTGCTCGTGGCTCGGCCTCTCTGCAGCCTCGACATGTTGGCGGTGTCTGAGAGCCTCTGACGTCGGCGGCCTCTCTCTATCCCTCTATCCCTGCCCGCTATTTTCGCGATCCGCACCATAGGTGATGCTCGTGTAAGCCACCGCTTCATACAGTTGCTCCCTCTCCCGCGGAGCAATCACTCTCCCGCGAGCAATCTCGGGTGTTTAGATGCGACCAGAGAGTATCCTGCTGCGGGTAGTCACCTCGGTCAGGCCCCCCTGCCTGGTGCGTGGTCGAGCCCCGCGGCAGGTCACTTACTTATGACTCGACCACGCACCGGTGTGGGGGGCCCTAGTTTTTGTCGTGTGAGAACAGGCACCTCCGAGAACAGAGATACGAGATGTGGTGCACGCGCTCGCACTTCCACTCTGTGTGGCGGCTCCCTCGCCCAAGCCGCAGGACATTCTCACCACGCATGGTTCCGGAAGACGCAGATATGGCGCTTTGCCCTACCCAGTAGTGACGAGCATCAGAGATGCTCAATTGTGTGGAGCACGATGCTCATTCTGCTTGCCGGAAGCGTGGCGCTTGGCGGGCTTCTGCTTGCTACCGCTCTCCCTTCTCAACCTCTTCGGTGGAGAACCCTCCACTCGGGGGATGGCATGGACTGCTTGCGCTGGCGCCGGCGCCGCCACATCCGCCGCAGCGATCGCCGCCGCATCCGCCGGCCGCTCCCACGTCGCTTCATTCGAGGGCGAGACGTAGCACGGCGTGCCACACGAGGAGACGGTGACCCACCAGCCATGGGGGAGGCCGGCGGTCATCCGAAGCAGCTGCGCCTGCAGCAGCTGCTGCTGCTGAAACGCCGCATCCGCCGCGGCGGCCTGGACGTTTCGCCCTGCTTCGATGCTCGAGGACGAGGATGCCTCACTCGCCTCTCGCGCCAATCGCTGAACAAGCTTCCTCGCCGCTTGCGAGTCGAGCAGCCATGCCGTGCTCTGCGTCAAGGCCGGCATCACCGCCTCCCGCGCCGCCGCCCGCGCCGCCGCGTCGTCGCCGAGCTGCGCCGCGAGCTCAGTCACGAGCGAGCAGACGGCGCGGCCCGGGTCCCGCGCCGACAGCCAGAACGGGCTCTGCTTCACCGCCTGCACCGCCGCCGCCCGCGCCGCCGCCAGCGCCGCCGCGTTGCCGCCGAGCTGCGCCGCGAGCTCATTCGCGAGCGAGCGGACGGCGCTGCCCGGGTCCCGCGCCGACAGCCAGTCCGGGCTCTGCGTCAAGGCCGCCAGAACCGCCGCCCGCGCCGCCTCCCGCGCCGCCGCGTCGTCGCCGAGCTGCGCCGCGAGCTCAGTCACGAGCGAGCAGACGGCGCGGCCCGGGTCCCGCGCCGACAGCCAGAACGGGCTCTGCTTCACCGCCTGCACCGCCGCCGTCCGCGCCGCCGCCGCGTCGCCGAGCTGCGCCGCGAGCTCAGTCGCGAGCGAGCGGACGGCGCTGCCCGGGTTCCGCGCCGACAGCCAGCCCGGGCTCTGCGTCAAGGCCGCCAGAACCGCCGCCCGCGCCGCCTCCCGCGCCGCCGCGTCGTCGCCGAGCTGCGCCGCGAGCTCAGTCGCGAGCGAGCAGACGGCGCTGCCCGGGTCCCGCGCCGACAGCCAGTCCGGGCTCTGCTTCACCGCCTGCACCGCCGCCGTCCGCGCCGCCGCCGCGTCGCCGAGCTGCGCCGCGAGCTCAGTCGCGAGCGAGCGGACGGCGCGGCCCGGGTTCGGCGCCGACAGCCATCTCGGATTCTGCTTCAAGGCCGTCATCACCGCCTCCCACGCCGCCGCGTCGCCGCCGAGCTCAGTCGCGAGCGAGCAGACGGCGCTGCCCGGGTCCCGCGCCGACAGCCAGTCCG